CGTTTGTTTATAAATGTGATCCTAGAAATAGCTCCTGAGGGTCAATGCATCAGGCAAACCCAGAGCCGGCAAAACACAATCCTAAAAGCCTGGGACCCTGTCCTTTTCTTGAACCTAAACTAATAGTCTCCCACCACCCGCCCCCACCCCCGCTCCGAGCATTTCTACTTCAGGAAAGTACTTACTTAACAGTGAGATGTAAATAAATGACCAAGAGACTGATATTGGGATTCGAGCTTCAAGCTGAATATCAGAAAAGCAAAGCAGCCGGCCACTAGCTCTCACCTCTACCTCAGGCTGAAAGGGCTGATCCACCCACGAGTCTCAAACTGCTGCCTCTCCTCTCAGGGTGACTAAAGAATGAACGCTCTCTGAGACCTCATCTCTATCTTATATACTAACCCAATGTTAGGATCAAAGGTGTTAGCTGTAATTCTCTTTTAGACTGATTCACACTTGTGTAGATCTGGGTGGCCTTGGACTCACAGAAATCCATCTATCTTTTAATCCTGAGTCCTAGGATTAAAGGTGTGCACCACCATCTCTGGCTGCTGCGATTAAAGGTGTGTGTCTCGCATCTATGGCTTGTGGCTGACTCTGCTTTTCTGAATCTCTCACCACAGTGAGAGAAATAACGAAATGTTCCCGGTTTTCGATCTCAGAACCCCTTTCGCTCCCCGTTCCTGATTTTACTGCACCTGGGACACAGTCTAACTCTCCGAAGCCACCCACTGCCCGTCAGGTGGGCATTCTGTGCCCTGAGCGATGCCAACGGGAGCCACCAAACGCCCAGGCTTAGGGAGAGCCTGATGACACCAGAGCTAACGGCCCCTGCTCATTCGAGAGAGACTCGGAGTCCGTGGCTTTTTCCCTGAGTCTTTCAGAACGGCCCGACCGCGGCTCGACACTTCGCGGAGGGTGGGCGTCCAGCCGCGGCCGAAGGGATGGAGGCCGCTGCCCACGCCTGGCCCGCTCGCCCGCCCGCCCGCTCGCCCTCCCGCTCGCCCTCCGAACTCACCTCCACGCGCCGGGGCCGCGTCGCCGTCCGCGGTCGTGTCGGACCCGCGCCCTCCTGCCCCAGCCGCCGAGAACCGCCTCGAGGCCGCGGCTCGGGAACGGGCTTTGCCGCTCGGCGTCCACCAGACCCAGCTCGACAGAGACCCAACCACACGCAGCCAGCCGGCTACACGAAGCGAAGCTCGCGGAAAAGCGGGCAGGAGCTCCGCCGCACCTGGCTGACGTCACTGCCGAGCGACAGCGGTTCCTCCGCGCGCCCTCTGCGCATGCGCGCCGGGGCCCGGCCGCGAATGCCCGCCTGGCGCGGTTTCCACGCAGCAAGGTTTGAAAGTGAACGTCAAGTTCAGACCAGCGAATTCCCGGGAAATGATGCGCAGTGGTTTAACCGAGGGGAGATGTGCTCCCGTGTTAACGCAGAAGTCGGTATTTCTGCAAGTGTTGCTAATGAGCTCAAAACTATCAAACTGACTGCAAGCCAGGGAAGCGCGACTGTATTAGTTGTGCAGTGTAGACGCTGCTGACGAGATTTGTACCCGACCGGACTTTTAAAAGCTATTTATAATTTTTTTTTAATCTGAAGGACGCATGCATCATCACAGAAGCATGCGAGTTTTTTATACAGCGATTGGGGATTACACTGGGGGTGCCCGGAGATTGACTAGTTGTGGTTTTCTGTCATGGTCTCCATCAGCTATGAAAAGCGGCTTCTTTGATGAAGGGTGAGAGTCCTGCTTCTTTTTTTCTTTAGAATAAAATTCTTTGTAAAAGGTATTAGGTTTTAAACACACATCAAGATTTGAGCTCATTTTGAAATTGCCTTTGAAAATAACCACACCTGCTTAGAATGCCACATATATGCATAAAATGGCTGTTCATGTATGTGTGTATTCAATCACTGTCATAAAACAACAGGCAATAATACATAAACTCGTGTAAGGCATGCATCGTTTTTCCTGAGACTTAGTTGTGTGTGTGTGTGTGTGTGTGTGTGTGTGTGTGTGTGTGTGTGTATGTTTGTGTGTGTTTTGTTTTGTCTCAGTAGTAAGCTCTGGGCAGACAGGGGCTTACTTGTTTTAATCCGTCATCACCAGGATCTAACACAGGGCTTTGCACATATAAATGTTCTATGTAAGTGACACGGTCATTCACTAGGCAATTGTTTCTATTTAGGTGTTTCTCCCCACTATGAAAGAACTAAGCAGTTTTCTCTTTTTGGGATAGATCTCACTTCCTCCAGTAAACTACCACTCAAAAATCTCAACCTTCCTTATTCTTTTTGTTTAAAATCGGTTCTTTCCTAATTTCATACACATATATGATGTTCTTTGACTATAGTCTTCCCCCATTACCCTCTTTTATTCTCTTCCCCTTCTTTCCCTCTTCTTCTTTTTTGTGGCTCATTGCATTTAATTAAATCTCCCAGCATTCCCAAGCCTGGGTGGGGGATTATTTACTTTCCTTCCTCCAGCAACCGCTTAGTGGCTACAGCTTGGTGAGAACTACACTTACTGCAGATTTCATGGTTTCATTTTTCTTTACAGCTGAGTATTTATTCCATTGTGCATATGCACATTTGTGTTATCCACCCATCAACTGAAGGGCATTTAGGTTATTTCTATTTATTAGCTATTGTGAATAGAGCAGCATCTGTGTAGAGCGATGTCAAGTTCTCTGGCCATGCGCAGAAGTATGGAGCTAGGTCATCAGGTAGATTTTGGAGCAATATTGTCTGTGCATGGTTTCTTGTATATGGTTCCCAGTTGGGGGAAGTATTTTGTAAGGGCTAGGAGGTGTAACCTTATGTCACTGGGGGTGGTCTCTGAGGTTTCAAGAGCACACACCATTCCCAGTTAGAACTCTCTGCCTCGTGTTTATGAATATAACCACTGAATTACTGCTCCAGTGCCATGCCTACATGCCTGCTGCCAGACTCCCCACCCCAACGGTCATGGACTCACTCCTCTTTAAGCCCCAATAAACTCTTTTCTATAAGTTGCCTTGGCCATGGCATCTATCCTAGCACAGCAATAGAAAAGTAACTAAGTGTTGTTTCCTCCTCCACTGCATGGGTGACTGAGAAAGTCATATGAAACAAGTCTGCTCATTGTCTGCATCGTATCTTAGGGGAACAAAAGCCCATGATACTGAACCATGCGTGATTATGTCTAGTACACAACACAGGCAAATCCTCTGTGGTATATCCCTGTAGAGTGGGCCTACTGAGTGTCAGCTGTTGGATCTACAAGTCTGTCCTTACCCAGAACCCAAGAAGACTTGCTTTGTTTACTATTAGTACGAGAGGATTACTTCCATTATTGGAGGGTAGAATAAATCTGAATTGTGCACGGCACACTATTTCTCAGTGTTCCAGCAGCCAATCATATGAAGTATACTAACACACCCTTTACCTACATTTTCCCTGTTCTGTCTCTCACTCTGCCATTCCTATCACCTATATGTCCCAAATAGTCCCCTGTTCTGGAGTCTTTGTCCCGGGTTTTACGTCTGTGAGTAAAGAAAAGAAAGACTATGTATGATGGGTTTACTGGGAGTCTACAAACGTGTGGTTAGTGTAAAAAGCATATAAATGTGTTACTTGTGTTCTTACTAGAACAGAAAAGAAGGAACTTTTCCAGGGTCTATGCCATGATAAAAGGCAACTCTTTCTTATATGGAAGCAGACATTTTTTACACCTTGGTACCATGTTAAGTCTTTATTAAGTAATGTACACATTATTACAGTTAGGAAATTCTTGATTGTCAGAAGAACCTTGGATATATAATATCTTAATTGTACCCATTACAGAGGGGAGGATAATAGAAAAAACGATTAGGACTGAACTTCCCAGAACCAAAGTAGAAAAATATATGAAAGTATATGGGAACGCAGAAAAAAAAAGAATTCTGCAAAATTTTACAAGTTAAAGGAAAAACAGCATAGCAAGCATCATAAAAAGATGTTGTAGTGACCATAACAGATATATGGCACATAGTCGAAACACATGGATACCACATAATGAATGCACTTCAAGTTGAAGTTTGTTTACTTGTAACAACATGATACACATACATAAATACATACACACAATACCCCTGGCTTGCACACTTCAATACCTAGGAAGAAAGAAATTAGTGTACCATAAGGTAGACATGGAGCCATCAGAGTTAAGGAAACTCAATGTGCTTCACTTTCGTAGGAGATGCTAGAAAGACCAGTCTGCCCAGCAGTTTGTTGGAGGTTTGGTGAATTCTATGAAGTAAATGAATGCTGGAATATTTAAAGAATAGCACTAAAGTCCAGGACTTTCCTCTACCTGTCCTCAACCTGCTGATTGTTGACTGGCTTGGCTTTGTCTCCTTGGCTCTCAAAAGGCCCGGTTACTCAGCATTTTTAAAAAAAACAATGGTTTTAGTCCGGTGTGATTACATATGACCTTAATCCCAACAAATAGGAGACAGAGAGTAGAGCCAGGCATTGGTGGCGCACGCCTTTAATCCCAGCACTCGGGAGGCAGAGGCAGGCGGATCTCTGTGAGTTCGAGGCCAGCCTGGTCTACAGAGCAAGTTCCAGGACAGCCTCCAAAACAATACAGAGAAACCCTGTCTCAAAAAACAAAAACAAAACAAAAAAAAAAACAACAACAACAAAAAAAAAGGAGACAGAGAGTAGGTAGATCTCTGAGTCAGAGGCCAACCTAGTTTACATAGTTAGTTCCAGGCCAGCCAGGATTATATGGTGAGGCCCTGTCTTTAACAACAACATATACTGAGAAATAGATTTCTCCCATAAATTTAGTGAGACCTTCACCTAATGAAAACCATTGCTGATATGTAACTTTTAGCTGATCACTTCTAATAATGGATAACCCCTTAGCCCTTGAGGCCCCTTACATGAAACTGAACAAAATTTGCATTATATGTTTTCATTCTGAAATATAAGATGGATATTTGAAAACTATATTCTAGATAAAACAAGACAACCCTTTACTCTTACAGAGCTTTTATGTACTTCAAAACCTCCTTACAACACTGCTTCACATGTACATAATTGCTAAATTAAAACTTTCACTGCATACCAAAATGTTCAGTAAGTTTGTCTTATTCCTTAGTTACTTTAATATTAGATTCAGCTGTAAATGAGATACATGGGAAAGAAAAATGGAGAAATTTCTATGCTAACAAAGAATTGAACAGTCAAGTTTAGTGACAGATTAAGGCTCTTTCCTATATATTTTCCTATAATTTATCTTTTTGACTTTTCTTACCCCATGTCCAACAAAAGCTAAATAAAAAAAAAACAGAAAATAAATGATATGTTTAGTCCCACAAACTGAGACTGTAATAGCAAAACGGGACAGCACTTAAATTCTATCTCAACTGTTCACACGCATTTCAATAATCCAGACTCTGCTTTGGAGTTCTTTACTACTTCATTTTTTAGAAAAGTTCACCACAGATAGGTTGGTGAAGTAAGACTCCTTTCTTAGATGGACGTTTGTAGTAAACTCCCAAATGACTTTTGAGCCAAAAGCAATGCTTGGTTTTTCTTACCGAGATACACAGGACTGCCACTGCCGACAGAACAGCTTATAAAGGATGCGTCATCATCGCCTGAAGACTGGGGCAGGAAAGCCACTGGGTGTACGTTCAGATTTTTTTTGTTTTCTGAACTCAATATTTACATCTAGATTTCTCATATGAGAAAAAGTAAAACAATCCTCCTGGAACCATGGGTAAAGTTTACGTAAAATAAATTAAAGTGCAGAAAATTATAGCAGTTGGTCACAAAGACCAGCATCATAATGTAGCTGGGCGTATAAATACTGTAACTGTCACTACCACACTGGCCAACCACCTCATCATGTCTCAGGAACACACATACAAACACTCATGGAGTATTACACGTGAGCATTGGCACTTCCGTTTCCACCTCCACCTTCCAGGCCCTCGGCAGACTGGGAGGAAGGAGGCCGGGAACTTCTGGCGTGAGGTGGACCACTGAACCCCACCTGCGTGCCTAGACCATGACCTGTCTGGGATGCTGCATCATCCGATTCCCAGCGTTCCAACTCTTCCCGTACCAGGCGCTCCATCTGCTCCCTGTGGACCTCACTGTCACGACCCAGTCTCTCATCCTAATGAGGAAATTAAACAAATAGCAGAAACCAGGGCACTGCATGCTATCTTTTACATATTCTACAATGAAACGGAGTTAGGCATTTATGTGTTCACTAAATTGTATGCTCCATTGCTGGTAGCACCCTCAGAGGGGGAGGTATCAAGAATCACGCCTCCAGGTTATCATCTGACCTAAGGTTATTATGAGGAGAAGGACAGCATCAGGTTAAGTAGTTACAATATGGGACGACTACCCTGTGCTCTACAGAACTAAAGACTGTTTCTGCTCAAGGGGGAAGAATCTGAGAATAAAAGTGAACAGAAACAATATTTGTGAATGACAAGTGTCACGGGTGTCCATTTCAATCGACAAATACCTAGTCCACCAGTCAGCTTCAACTCATGACCACTCACCTCAGCCACTCCGTCCAGCAGCCTCCCTAACACCTCTCGCCTCTTCAGCTTGGCCCGCTCCATGATCTCAAGCTTGACAATCACAGCATCAATCTTGGACACGATGCTGCCTATGGAATGCTCCATGCGGTCCACACGCCTCACCAGTCTGCAGGGGATGACAGTGGGCACAGTCTGTCACATCTGTGTCCTTCAACCCACATGACCCGTGCATCGAAACATAACATGATAATACTTTCTATGTGTTTGCAAGACTAAGAGACAAACTGTAATGGGCTGTTTGTGGGAATGGTAGCCTCCATCCTTCTTTGTAAAAATAAAATTGTGACTGAAGGTTTAAAAGCCTTTTTTCACAAGAGCCAATTTTAGGTACACAGAATTGCTTTTTAATAGCATAGCATTGAATAGTGGCAATGCCAAACAACCAGTAGGAGATGATGGAAATAAACTATAATTCACCTAGGCAATAGATGTCTAAAGTGACACCAGAAATTGTATTGCATGTTTCCTGAAATAGTTATAGCCAAATAAAACTGTTGGAAAATAGTGTGCTCTTTTAACATCTTATTATTTTGAATAAAAATGTTTAAATGCCTTAAAACTTGTCAAATGGCAACAATTTGAATTCTCCCTCCCTGGCCCCTCTCCTTGTGATCCTAGTGACTGAAGAGTGTTGCACATACCAGGTCAGTATTCAGCCACTGACTAGATGCCCTGGAGACAACTTCTCAAATGACAGTATAAGAATACTAAGAAGGAGCCCGGCAATGGTGGTGCATGCCTTTAATCCCAGAGGCAGGCAGATCTCTGTGAGTTTGAGTCCAGCTTGGTCTACAGAGTGAGTTCCAGGAAAGCCAAAAAGTCAAGGCTACATAGAGAAACCCTGTCTCAAAAAACCCTAACAAGGATGGTTGTTGGAAAAATTATTTTTAAAACATCAATCCTTTTAAAGGTCTAAACACTTATAAACTTATAACAAATGAAAATCATTTATCAAAACGACAACTAAAGAAAATTGAGAAATCGTGACACTTAAAACTGCTTGAATAAGGTATCATCAAATAATATTTTCCCCAGGTTTGATAAGAACCACTGCAAATTTGAAACACTCATAAAACTGCAAGTAGAATAAACTCAGAGGTAGACATACACAGTGAAGATACAGAAAGATAAAAACAAAGAAAAAAATGAAAGCACCAGGAAAAACATTGGTTTATGATGTATAAAGAATTTCATCGGGCTATGTTCTCATGAGAAAAACACACATCTCACGTAAGATAAAGACATAATGAAAGGCATAATCTATTGAGACTTACTTATTACAAACGTGTATGCACCTAACAGCTTCAAATTACACTAAGCAGAACATTCTAGAATTAAATGGAGAAGTGAATAATTTAATAATACAGATGTGATTACCCTACTTTCAAAAGCAGACAGAAGCCAACAAGCATAAAATCAACAGGGAAGCAGGAGACATCAACTGACAGGCATCTACAGAAAACTAAGTAGCAGCAGAATAAACAGTCTCCTCAAAGGACAGACCCTGTTAGGCTCCAAGGTATGTAAAAACACTGACACATACATGTAAAAGGAGATGTAGACTCTAAGACATTTTGGTTGGAAGGAACAGAAAAGATATTAATGTTGTCCCTGTCCCCAATTTCTTATAATGAAGATCTTTTATAAAAAGAAAACTACTCTTCAGACCCACTTGAAAGAAATTATATTAGTCATGAAAAGAAGTAAACATCTAGCTCCATGAGATGTCATGTCATCTCGTTGACCCTGGTCAACACAAAACTGGAGAAAACATTTGTACTTACACCTGGAACTCCTCATAGGAAACCCCGCTGGAGATGCTGCCCCTCCTCCTGGAGCTATGCCCACTGTCGTCATCGTCCTCCTCCTCAGAGTCATCCAGGCTTCTTGGGAAACTTCTGCTGCTCATGGGGCGTGGTAAAGAGCTGTGTTCCAAGTCCAGGTCCTCCTGAAGAAGATGGAGACTTCCAATGAGGGGCTGACACACCAAAACCCCACAAAATAGCTCACCAAGGTCTTGCACCAGGGGAAAATGTGTGTGCTCCAGACCAGTTCTCTACAGTTCTGATTTCATGGATTGACATGTTAAAGCAGGAATTAACAAGGTGAATGAGCAGCTACTAACGTGTAGGTTGAGGGTGTGGGGAGAGAGGACAGGGAGAGAAAGGAGTAATTCATTAGTACATGGGGGCGCTGAGTCCAGCCTCCCCCCACAAGCACTCACCCTCTCTTTCTCCAAGTCGTCTCTCATCTGTTGGTGCTCACGTTCAGTCAGTTCCTGATCACCATCCTGGTCATATTTAGTGAATATGGCCTCAATTTCTGCATCAGTGTGGCCTTTCCTGAAAGGTTGAGAGGGTCCAGGTGAATTTATTCAGTACATGGTCCCGCCCGAGCCCTGAAACATCAGGATGCAGGAGGAAGGGAGAGAGACAGCATGTTCCAGAAAAATACCTGCTTCCCCAAATGAAAACCATTGCTCTACCAGTACTCGGGGCAGAAACATCCTCTGGCCAGCAAGAGTTAGCATGTACAATAGCACTCCCAGGTCTAGCAGTGCGACCCTCACCCTTTCAGGTCCTGTCGCAGCTCATCAAAGTTTAACTTGCCCCCACCTTGCCGCAGACTCTCTGAAATGTCATCTACAGTATTTCTCTTAAGTTTTAGTTTGACCAATGCTTTTTGGTAGCCCTATTGAAAAGAAAAGAAAAAAAAAGGACATGATTTTCTTTACTCTCCTTTTGAATTTTGTCTTTCAGTTCCAGTGAAACTATTGGAAGTTCATCACCTCAGTAGAAGATGGATAATTCAAGAAAAATGTTTTGGTGAATGAGTAATGAATGTAATCTCAGTTTTCTATAAAACTTGTACAAAGCTCAGTATCTTTCAATAGATTAGGAACTAAGGGCTTCTATAATTTAGATATATGGATGTCTGTATTTCAAATGTAAATCACTGTGAATTTCCGAGCTGTTTGTTCCGCAGAATACAAGGGACTGTGAAGCTGTCGGCCTGCCTGATACCATGCTCCCCACAAGGACGATCATGGACTCAGCCTCTGAAACTCTAATCTCCTCCTAGAGGCTTTTCTGGTAAGTCACCTTGGTCGTACTGTCTCTTCACTGCCACAGAAAAGTAACTAAGACATCCTCTTAAGAATTACTTTATCATGACCTTTATTTGCAAGCATCATTCTCTCCAACATGTTTTCCTCACAATGTGTATCATTTATTTTGTGATAAACTAATCTTCACTAAATTGTTTTAGCTGTTTATCTGGATCCTTCAAAGGGTGGCTATGACTACTTCCCCACAGTAAGATATTTTTCTTCTACCAACCTTGTCTCTTTATGCTGTTGTTTCTCTGTTGTGTTTTTATCTTTGGGGGCCCATTCTCTGCCAGGATGTTTACTTTTAAAAACATTATTTTTTATTTATGTGTGTGCATGCACATGTGTATGTATGCACAAGTGCCTGCAGGTGCTCATAAAGGCTAGAAGAGGGTGTCAAAATCCCCGAAGTGGAGTTACAGTCAGTTGTGAACTTCCACAGGATGCTGGGAGTCAAACGCCAATCCTCTGAGAAATCAAGTATTCTTAACCCCCGAGACACGTCTTTCTCACCCTATATATAATATATGTTATATATACACACATATGTATATATAAATATTATATGTATATATTATACACACACATATATAAACATGGACGTGTCAGGGAGACAAGAAAGTAACCCTCCCTGCTTTGTGATTTGTGAACTAAAGCAGAGCTGTTCCATGGCCAAGCAGCAACAGAATGAAGGGTCACAATAGGGCCACTGAGGAGGATGGACACGTTACTTTGGTGGGCATCTGGAGACCAAATGGCTAACAGTGGAGTCTGTACTCTGCACCATTTCCCACACTATTTTGTGACAAAACAAATCTGAACCCTGTGGTTGAGGGCCTGACGTTATGTAATAATGTAGTAACTGAACTTCCTGACTATGGAAACTGAAGTGTGGAGCACCAACGTTCACACTGAAAACTAGTGAAACCCATCAACTGTGATGCAGAACTCACGAGGACAGGGACTTTACAAAGCTGAAGTTTTCCCTTAAAACAGAATTTGAACACAAGGGGGCTCAGGCTTGAACATAAAAACAGCAAAGGAGCGATTTCACCTACCAAGATGGCAGGCGTCCTGTGCACTCATTTCTTTTTATGTAAGTTTTAGTCTTTAAGGAAAGCACTTCCCCACCCTCCCCTTGTAGTTAACAGTTACAATTACACACTTGTTGAGATGGTGTGAAAGTAGTTCTCAGGCCCCCAAACTGTGTCTTGATGTAGGAACCTTTTCCTTCAGTTTTCTACAGAGAAAGGCTAGAGGTGAAAGGAAAGTGGCTGCCTTCCTTCTACCTCAGCTCAAGTGGTTATTGGAGAGAAGGGAGGAATTAGACGCATGTGCCCTCTCCCTTTTCAGTCTGCTGTCAACTTGGGACTCTGGAGCACTGGATAATTAAGAGTCAAAAGATCATCTTAAAATTGAATTCAGACCATAAAAGGAGCCTCAGAAATTAAGTCCTAGTCTGTCTGTCAAGCCTCCCGCCAAAGAAAACACTAAAATTATTTCTGAAATAAAGCAATCCACCCTTTACTTCAAGTAATTTCAGGGAATCAGTGTTGGTCTGGTAAACTGGTTAAAATAATGTTCCTTTATGTGTAGGAAAAAAACCTGGGAATTAGGGTATAGCCTACCTTTCTGATAAGGTCTGAGAGTTCCATTTCTGCTTTCTGCTGGGCCAGATCTGATTTCACTTCAGAGTAAGTATCATTGATGATGGCCAAAAACATATTCTGTGTGTAAAACAAGAGGATGAAACTCAAATATGTTTCGAGAGCAGTCTAAACATTGAGGCTTGCCTTTTGTTCACCTTTTTTAGCAAATCTGAATCACCATGAAGTCGCTAATTAAGTTTTACTCTCACGCTCTTTGAAGTAGCGTTTCTCCATTAAGTCATACCAAAGGAAGTCTTATAAAACTATGCTGTGCTGGCTAGCTGCTGTCAGCTCGACACACACTAGACTCAATGGGGAAGACGGAGCCTCAACTGGAAAGTTGGCTCCTTAAGCTGAGTCTGTAGGTGAGTCTGTGGGGGCATTTTCTTAATTGGTGACTGGTGTGAAAGGGAAGCGGCCAGTACTGGCCCTGGGCAGGTGGTCCTGGGTTGTATAAGCAAGCAAGCTGAAGAAGTAATGGGAAGAAGCCAGTAGGCAGCAATGGGAAGAAGCCAGTAGGCAGCAATGGGAAGAAGCCAGTAGGCAGCACGGGCATCTGTGTCATTCACTTCCTGCCTCCAAGTTCCTGCCTTGGGTTCTGGCCTTGATCTCCTACACTGGCTGTCTTCAATGATGGACTGTAACATGTAAGGCAAATAAACCTTTTCCTCCTCATGTTGCTCTTGGTCAAAATGTTTTATAACTGAAGTGAGAACACATTTTTGGCAAATCTTGCAAAGAGATAATAAAAAGCTACAAAATATTAATGCATATATGTACACATGGAAAATTTTACTATTGTTTTCTACTATTAAAACATTAAGTTACTACGTAGAGCTCTAAAGAGCTCTTCAAGTTTTAATAACCAACTTAATTAAACTTTTTCCAAATCTGTCATATACTCTTATGAGGAACCCAGAACATATTTTAAAGAACTGAGATGACTTCAGCAAATAGGCCCAGAGTAGGCCCAGTATAAAGCTCAAGGAAATCTGTGAAACGAGGAAGACTTCAGAGTCTGTCAAACTTGGGTTCTTGCCTTGTGGGACTGGGAAGAGATTGTGGGAATCAAAGGAGAAGATGAAAGAAAAGAACAAAACAGCAACACCACCCAGGAAGGTGTGCAGGAGTCAGACAAAACCCGGCTTAAGTTTACCTCACACTATTTGTCATATAGCTGGGCTCACCAACAGCCAAAGGGCTCTGTGTGAAACCAACTTCAACTGCAGCCATCATTTCAGACCTTCCCACCTGAACCTTCACACAACAAAGACACGAAACATCCATTGTCCAGTCAGCTGAACCTATGTACTCTGGAATCACAAGCCCCAGAATCTAAGCTTACCAGGAAGGAAAGCCTGTTACATGGAACTCTCTCAGGAATCTCGCTCACTCTTCAAGTAGATGCTTTCCCTCTGCAAGGAACTTCCACACTATTCCTCACTTGTACAAGAACCAGGGATACAGGCAGCCTGATCCAGCTTCCACCTCAGCAAACATGGCATGGCCCACACGTGTTGTCTGACCTGTGTATATGTGTTGTGGTGAATGCATATGTGTGTGTGACATGTGCACTTCCAAGTGCACACTCAAAGGCCAGAGCAAGTGTCTTCTCTACTGTCTCTACCTCATTGTCTTGAGACAGGGTCACTCAGTAACCTGAAGCTCACTCATTGGTTAAGTTGGCTGACCAGCAACACCCACCTCCCAGTGCCCAGAAGGTACATGCAGCCATTTCTGGCATTTTACTTGACTGCTGGAGATGCAAACTCAGGTTCTCATGTTTGCAGAGTATCATTTTTACCCAATCAACCATCTCCTAAGACCGTATTTGACTTTTTAAAAATATAATTAACTCTTTCGTTTTTGAGACTCCAGTATAACACAAGTGTTTGGTTGTGTGTGTGGAAGTCACATGGATGCTGTCCCAACTCACTTCGCTCTGCCTTATGTATCTTTCAGGGTCTTTCACTTGAACCAGAGCTCCCTGGCTAGTCTATCTAGCCAATTTGTTCAAGGGATCCTGTCTCTACCTCTTTGAGCTCTGAGGTTATAGGCTGGTTGCCATCTCTGAACCACCGTGGAGGCTGGGTATCTGAACTTGATTCCTCAAGCTTGAACAGCAAGTACTTTACACAGTGAGCCATTTCCCTAGCTAGCTCCTGGCTTTGCGTTTATAAAATAGAAAAGGTGACAGTACCCCCTTTAAAACTGCTTGTGTTGGGTAGTGAGATGATCTATGCAGTGCTCAGGACCGGTCCTAACAGTGATAGTTCTGAGTAGTAACCATCACAGCTGCTGTCACTCACCAATGTCAGTTACTTTTCCTGACATTTCCCCTCCCCGTAGTAATGAATATTCCCATTCTCAAAGCACTGCACCTAGTAAATCAAATGCGCCACCTGCGTGCCGTTTGTTTGTCTGGTAGCTGGCTTCAGCTGCTCAGGTGTATTTAACAATGTCAGCTTTACCCGCAAAGTCACAGGATCAGAGAAAGTTCAAGTTCTAATTTCCTTTTCACGACTCCCTCAACTGTATAACACATCACTGAATGCACACACTGTAGTTTTCACTACATACCACCTTTAAATTTAATTTATGCAAATTCTTTCTAGCAGTGTATAGGTCTTTGGGCTGTGAGAAAGTTGAAATACTATCTTAGCCTTGACTTGTGATAACTCACTCAGCTACGACTCTTGACATCCTATTTCTAAGTTACTTTGAAAGGTCCTATTTTCTCAAAGAAAAGGGAAGAATGGAAAGTCATACTAGCAAGTGACTAAAAGGTAGTGACTCTGTGCTGCATAGGCAGGCAAGCACGACAGACCGCTGAGGCAAAGCACCATCTAGGAACTTGACAAATCTGCACTTTAATTATTTTTATAGTGGTTAGACACACTTATACAGATGACTAGAAGACCACAGGAAAAACAAATTATTGTCCGAAAACTGTAATGGAAACGGAAACAGTAAGTTTTCAAGAGCCACCATTTCTTTTCTGTTTGCCATGCGTTTACTTAAAATGATGGGTGATCAAAGCACGAGAGAAAAGAGAAGGTGGTGATTTATGAGCATGAAGTTTAAATCACCTCGCTGTAAAAAAAATATGCATATATACATACCAAAAGAATGAAGAACATAAAGAACACAAATGTAGTGAAATAAAGTGGTCCCAAAACCCGGTTAGCTTCCTCAATCTCTGCGAAGTTGATATCACCCAAAATGATGCGGAACTGAGTGAAGCTATGAAAACAAAAGAGAACACAACACAAAACCAAACAGTGTCCAGCTGCGGATGTACATTTAGTAAGGATGATTTCATATGTTGGGACACTTTGGGAAGTTTGAGATAGCTGCCAAGAAATTGAAAACTGCCGACCTCCTTGGGAATGTCTTGTTACTTGTATTATCCATTGATGATGTCTTTTAGAATAATATGGTTTCATATATGTCATTTCTACTTAATATTCAACCTGATTATTAGATGATTTGTAATTGAAATGCTTATAATAGTCATGCTTGGTCGGTCTGAAATTAAAATATCTTTAAATAAAGACAGTGGCAAAACACATATTAAAAGATGGTCAAAACTGTAGGGTTCAAAGCATTTTCACAGTCACTCAACGTGAGATCATAATGGCTAGACACCGTCAGTGACATCATTTCCTTTCCTGACTTTCATCAATAGCAAGATTAACCAGAAATCTCCATTCACAAAACGACAGTAACTCCATTATTATGATTGACCCTTTCCCTCACTACCTAGTAACTTCGTGAATGGCAAATAACTGTAATTCAGAATATTGTGGGGACACCAGAAAAAGACTGAAGATTTGTGAACTGCTTTTAGTTTCTTCTACTATATTAGAAATATGTTTTATCTCTTAGAAGTTGAAATTTAAGACACAAGGCAACAATATTGAAGAGGAATGAGAATGTAGGCAAATGGCCTCCTTATGTGGGAGAGGGAGAGGAAAGACCGAGCCCTGGGATGGGACCCAGGGCTAACGTGCTCCACCCATGTGTGCCTCCCCTGCAAACAGCCATTTAAAACTCCCACCTGGGCTGGGTTCTGAGAAGACTTTGGTCTTTTGAATAGTGCTGTTTTTCTACAGTGGTTCCACTCTATCTCACTACTTGAAAGCTGCTTCCCTAAAAATCAACATTTCCAAACATCATGATTTCTTTGCTGGGACAATATTTGTAGAAGAAATAAATCCACATGTCTTTATTTTTAACATTTACTAGTGACAAGAATAATATTTTTACTGTTAGGAATGCTATGACATCTCTAACTTACTTTAAAATAAAAATCTAAAAATATTATATCTATAATTTCATACATTTATAGAAAAAAACTTTTCTGTTTCATTTCATAGACACTTACATACATTCTTGGAAAGTACTGAAGTCATCCACCTGAGTGCCGAAGACAAGGTATGCCAACTGAGCGTACGCCAGGAAAATGATGAAGAACATTATGGTGAAACCAAAGAGGTCTTTGGCACATCTAGACATGGTTGTGGAGAGCTGGCTCATGGTCCTGTTAAAGCTGATGAATTTGAAGAGCTGTAGAAGAGGGACAATGTCAGTAGATGAATGTATGATACAATGTGCTCTACATATACAGGGAATGGAAGTCTACTATAAGAGGGAATGGAATTTGTTACTCGTTGTTATGTCAACTTTGAGAGCATGCTAAGTGAAATAAGGCAGATGCAAAAACCTCAAATGTTGTTTGCATGCCTCCATCTATTTGAGGCACTCCAAATAGCCAAACTCAATTCCAAATAGCCAAACTCACTGGGACAGGAAAAACAATGGAAAATTGACAAGTCGGGTTATAGGCATTTCCTGTTGGGATCACAAAAACGTTTGGTGATGTCCAGCAGTGATAGATACAACATCAGGCTGTGTACTTCTGAAGCATGCATGTAAAATGGTGGAAATGGTATTGCATAATTTATATTTATCATAGTAGAGAAAACAGGGGTCTCTTTCAAGTCTAGGAATACCTCGCTTGTCATTCAAAAAGTGTTTGTTGAGTAGCTAGCTCATACTGGACACAGTCCTCAGGGCTGGGGATGTAACAGTTAGCAGAACAAAGCTTCTGCCTCATGTTTTTGTTTTTTGTTTTTTTTTTTTTTTTTGGTTTTTCGAGACAGGGTTTCTCTGTGGCTTTGGAGGCTGTCCTGGAACTCGCTCTGTAGACCAGGCTGGCCTCGAACTCACAGAGATCCGCCTGCCTCTGCCTCCCGAGTGCTGGGATTAAAGGCGTGCGCCACCAACGCCCGGCTCTGCCTCATGTTTTATAGTAAAAAAAAAAAAAAAAAAGCTTAAATGTCACTGACAAATAAAGGATAATGTCCCCCATAGGAATAAACTGAAAGAGGAATAAAAAAAGCAGTAACAAGAAATAAGTCAGAAAATAGTTTTGTGCATCATTGTCACATGCTGAGCACCACTAGGTAGGGGTAACCTTGGCTAACTGCCTCGAATCTTCAAGGACTTCCTGACTGGTATTTTTATCCCTAGACACTAGACAGACTGGGAGCCAGAAGCGCCTGACTGTAAACCCAATGCTCGAGAGCGAAAGCATCTGAGTCCAGTCACGGAGACGGTAGCTGGCAGCCCAGGTGGCAGGGTGATGCCTGCTAAGATGCCTGCAGCTCAGGGTAGAAGGCTGTGTGGGGAGCATAGGGCGGGAAGAACTGGGGGTCGTAATTCCTGCCTGGAAGAATCCAAGAGTCATGTTTGGGAAGCAATGCAATAAATAGAAGACAGTAACTGGAAATACACAGTAAGAGAGAAATCTCTAGAATTTCACTTAATGGTCTTTTACAAACTGCTCCTGAACACACACACAAAAAAATCTCCATTATTTATTAAGGAGATTCCTACTTTTATTCACTCATTCTTTAGCGCTGGGATGGAACCGAGGGCCTCACATGTTCTAGACAAAGGCCTCTGCCACTGAGCAACTCCACCAACTCTAACTCCTATTAATTTTAGGGTAAAGTTTGATGTGTTGGTGATGGTCTCTCCTGAACAAGCAATAAGTGAATGACGATGTGAGAAGCTCAATGTGAGGTCCACACTTTTGGTCAGCCCCAAGCCCTACAGTGTCAGAGCTGTTGGTAAGTACCCTCCCTGGAGCTGCTTCTGAGGACCTAAAACAGTCGCCATTAGCAACACATCGAGAAAATTTGACTACTGGGATGGGGAAAGTGAAGTTATAATTATATTAAAAATATAAGGCCAGGTGATGGTGGCAGATGTCTTTAGTCCCAACACTGAGGAGGCAGAGGCAGTTGGATCTCTGTGAGTTTGAGGCCAGCCTGGTCTAAAGAAGTGAGTCCAGAGTAAGGGCTCACTGTCTGTGAGTGTTCACTGTCCATGAGGCGCCCTGATTTCACAAAGAGGATGAATGAGAAAGTTACTGTTCAGGAGAGGCTCTGATGCAGTCTCAGCTAGGCAGACTTTCCTCAGATCTGAAAAGTATCCAGGCAGCCAACGTCATCTCACCAACAGTTACAGGAAACTTCACAGAAGCTGCCATCTACGTGATGCAAACCATGCAACAACCCTGGCTGGCCATGTCAACCTGGCCAAAAAGGCAAATCCATGTCTTCCAATGGCCTGTGTGATTCATGTTAATGAGTACATACACAGTAAAATGAAGAAAGTGACATAACTTACCTTGATCCAGACCAAAAATACCATGACTGCAGCTATATTGTTGAACTGTATTTGCCAGTATGCTACATGCTCAAAGTTGGGGAATGTATTCTGATCTTCGAGAAACTGTAGTAGAACCTCTGTATTTGACATTCGGTAAATGTTAATCACCATAGCAACTATGGATAACTGGAAGACATAAGATTTATATTTATTACAACACTTTAGAAATAAATAATCTACCTTAAAATGACTAGTTTTCCCTACTGATGTGTGAATTTGAGGACTGATCATATTACTCACCCAGTACCACTCATCAAAGTCATCAGTTAAAATATGAAAACAATATACAGCCTACATTCCCTTCGGGACAGAACAACTAAAAAGATGTGCAGGTGTGTACATGTATATACACAGAGGAGATCATATGAAAATAAGCTCACATGCAAAAAGGAAGGCCTTCTGCCCATCACAGCTAAGGAAGCAGACTCATAATCCTGTTTTTCATGCAGGAAGACTTTCTAGTGAGCCCTACACCTTCTCCTGCTGGTATTCAGATTTTCTTTGCACTCTTGGAAGCTCTGAGAATGTAGCTTAAAGGGACGAAGGAGCCCTTTTGTTGTTTGAGCAAATCCAATAATCTTTTATCTGGATCTCACAGCATCATATTAACACATTGAATTTCCTTGACTTCCCTATTCCAAAATAGGTATTGAGAGAAGAGAGATGTTTTTCGAGTATTTGTATGTTAAATCACTCCTACTTTTTTCTTTGCAGTTCTCATTTCTATCTACAAAAGACCTTCTTCCCCAAACCAGAACATGACCTTTAGGAGGGCAGAGGGTTGACTGTATGTATATCCCTGTATCTCTAAGACCTGGAGCACAGCTCAGTATGCAGTAGGATAGCTTTGTTGAGTAGATGACTATTTTCCCTCAGTGAAGCTAAGTCATCGACATTATTTGAACTTAGACTTCTAAAGGTTTTTTCCCCTCAGTAATTCCAAAAGATAATTGGCTAGGACAAACAGCTAGCTGACTGGCACAAGCCTGGAGGCTTTAGTGTCTTTTCAGGAGAAACAAAACAGGGAAATACAGGGGACAATCTCAATGTGATTCCCTGATGTTGAGCTTTTTTAGGTGGACTTAAATTTTAGCTGGATAAAACAAACACTCTGGCCTTCTTTCAGAGTTTTCCTGTCTCTGAGGAACAAGATGCACCAGCAAGGCTGCCATTCCCTCTACACAGACAGCAAATCTTCTAAAGGAAACATAGGCGATCTCCATAAATGCCCAAGTATCTGAACTAAGTCCTGGCATCACGTAAGTTAAAGTATAATTAAAAACTGGAGAAAATAGGCCTTCAAAGAGAGGCTCACACAATGCTATGGCTATGGGCAAGAAAAAGAAAAGCAACCAATAGCCCAAGGGACCCCAAAGTGTGTATGATACAGTTCACTGGAGTAGGAGAAAACCTGACAATCTACGGGTGGTTGGGTGGCTAGAAAGCATATTCATGGTTTGAACAGATGATAAACAAATGGGTTTGATATGAAATATGAACATGAACCGCTGAACTATAATACTATATACTTTTCTTAATAGATTTTAACAATATTTTTGTAACATGTACTGCACATTTATAGTCTACATAGTTAAATAACAATATAGTCAATTGTTAAAAGTTATAATTCTAATTTGTACCTTTTTAGTTCTATGCAGGTCTATGCAGGTGCTATACCTATAGCACACACCACAACTGAACACATCCAACGAATTAGGGTACACAGTTAACTTTTTTCACTGAACAGCATTCAAGATTTAAAATGTTAAATGTTGACTAATTTTGGTGATATGGAAAATACTTGGTTAAAACAATGTCATTAATCACCATATAGCACTTCTTTTTTCTTTCTTTCTTTTTTTTAACAAGTAACCTAAATATAATTACATACAAGCCAAAAGGCAATTTTGCAACTTTCCAAACATTGTTTCCTAGAATAACTTGAATGTATGTGGTCTGTACTCTGCCATCACCAATACATAACTGTTCTGAAAAATAATTTCCAAATTTGATGTCTCTCTTATTTTCTTTAGTACTAATTTTTTTTAACACTGCTTGGCATTAACACTTTAGTAACATGTGACTCAAGTCGCCGTGAGTGAACTGTGTGACGTTACAAGAACACCATGTGGGGAGAGCGGTACCAGCATGCCGTGGGTCTCGAACTTTTATTTCAAGTGGAGGCACTTTTTGAAGCACACAGGTGCATGGCCCAGTAAGAAGGGAGTGAAGCAAACAAGAGTCGGTGTAAGGACTTCACAAGTCTTCCCCTGCGAGAACTACTTGGGAATGTGCCAAACACACATTGGTCTTAAAGTCTAAGCCATTTTCCTATCACTATTATTACCATCATTTCCCATAATACCACAGTTGCCATGCAGTACATGTCCACATGGTTCTTCCTCATGTCTTAGGTATTTGTTCCTTCACACATAAACAACATGTTCGCTATTGTATCAACAAATTCTAATGGGCAATACTTGATAAAGATTTAACAAGTGGTTCACAAACGCCAAGCAGTTGTAAGTTGGAATGAGAAAAGAATACTGTCAGGGAGAGGGCTGCTGGGAGAATGCTCGCTGGTGAATGCAGTCCTGGAGAGAGAATCTGGAAGGGAGAGACAGTGGGAAGCAAGGACACATGTGGCACAGCTGCGCCCAAAGAATATTTAAACATGTGCCAACTAGGCACACTGTTAGCAAGTTAAAAATATAAGGCAAAAGCTGATATGCTATGGAGATAGGAAAAGCTTAGAAAAAATGAATTTGTACACCAAGGGCTCAGGAAGAAAGCAGTGGATACGAATGATGGGTACAGTTTAACTTTTGTTCCCTCTAGGCTGTGTGAAAGGAGTTCCAAACTACAGGGTGTTTTCTGCATTAAACAATCTTTAGGCTGCTTCTTCTTGTCATAATTTGATACTTACAAAAAAATGATGTTCACTAGCAGAAAATACCCCCACAGTCTTATCCTATAAATCTTATATGACATACCCAAGACAAATTTAACTACTAAGTTGTGTGATTAAGTCAGTAAGCTCAATAAAAACATCGACACCATAATCAGGAAGGTTTCTCATACAAAGTGAGAATAAAAAGTGTTAACACAGAGTTAATGTAAAAGAAAAGTTGAGATTTTTCTACAAGAAATGTCAGATCCCCAACACGGAGATTGAGGACTGCAAATTAGCTTTTAGAATACAGAGAGGAAATGAGAAGAGACAGCAGGGAAGCTAGAATACAGAAAGGAGATGAGAAGAGACAGCAGGGAAGTTAGAATACAGAGAGGAGACACAGCAGAGCCGTCGGCATTTCTCTCCAACCTACCACAACAATCCCAACATCCAGACAATTCCAGAAACTCCTGAAATAGTGCAGTCTGTGAATCCGAATCTCCAATATCTCTTCCACCACATAGTAAAGGATAAAGAAACAAAAGATAATCTCACAGGCTGCCAGGAAGAAATCAAAAGCTGTGACGTATTGGATCAGTTTTACAGGCTGAAACTGCCAAGAGGGCACCACACCACCTGTTGCTGGGAACTCAACCAGTAACCTGCATTGAAAAAGAACAATTGAAGTAACAATGTATGATGGAATCAGGAAAGCGGGTAGGTTGTGTACTATGAGGTGAAAACCACAGGGTAGAAACTTGTTACTATGAAACATTTATTCAGCAACTATGTAACATCTAATTAGCTCTTCAGTTTGCTAGTTTGCTACCCTTGAAAGACTATATCTAGGACACTCAACACCCACCTGCTGTCTGGAATAAGACTGTCCCTCTTTTATATTAACACAGTTAGCATTGAGTTTTACTATATTCCTAACTGAACTGCAGACTTTTCTTACCAGATTCCACTATGCAACTATGCAGGCGTCAGAGTGCCAAAGTTCAGTGGTTGAGGAGCTAGAATGACCTTCCACATAACTAGAAAGCGGGTCTCTAACTCTGTAGTTTCAAAAGCCCCCAGTCACATGCCTGGTATCACGATGTCCTCCATGACAAGACAGTGGCCAAACCTAGAACCCAAGCTCCTAAGACACATATAGGCTCCAGCAGTGGCCAAGGCAAAGCCAGGACTGTGGAAAATGGGAATTCCTGTCAGTTCACTGTCAGCTTCCCTCTCTGATGTCAAGCACTAGCAACAGCCAGGAGAACTCTAAAAGCAATGGATCCCATTTCAGTAAGTGGCCCCTGTGTGTCACAGCCTCTCTGTACCACGGAGGCTACCTAGGAACTTTGAAAGAAATGGAGTGATTGCCCTGATGGGGCCATCTTTGAATTCTAGGGAGGATGTGAAAAAACACAATCAAACTAACAACCCACTGAAGACACAATGAAAGCAAACACTTTCTAGTATGTCAGAGGAGCCTGTCCATTAGAACCCTCTTCAAATAACACTGGCATCATTATGAAAAGCTTAATGCAATTGTGATCAATTCTCATCCATTTCTAGAAAGATCACTTGGTTTAAAGAGGTGTTATGGTCAGCAAACACTGCCAAAGTCTAATTGCCTGTTAAATCAGAGTTGAATTCAGTGTGAAAATTATTGCAGAATACTAATATTGAGAACATGTCCTCTCTTCCTGTGGAAATGTATGTGCAGATGACCAATGGGAGTGGCCTTGGGGTGCTGCTGACGTGACATGCCAGGCAAACACCACCAAGTAACTGTCAGCTTGCTCCAGTCTATTTTAAATAGCACTTACTATTTACAGCGCTACACGACTTGTTTCTTGTGTCTATTTGTTGAATGCAAACTTGCTTCATCCTCTGACATATCCAAACAGCCGAAAACAGTAACCGGCAGCACATGTCCAGGACCAGCTTATTGAATGCAGAGAAAGATGAGGCAACAGAACCTTTGTCACAGTTTCCAACAGTGGCTGTGGCATCAGTCTGTGCATGGAACCTGATGTGTCATGAACAAGTCTTATGCACAAAAGTGGGGAGACTCAGGGAGAGGAGACAAGGTTTGGTAGCCAGAGGACATGGTGATAGATGGTTACTATCCTTATAATGGTTGAAGATAATGGTAAAAAAAAAACAAGTAGAACAACAGAAACCTACCAACAGTGCTTTGAAAGGGCAGGATCTAGAAATGGGATAAACTTGTCCAGAGTTAAGGTCCTTTCCATGCCATAACACCACAGGCTCTTAAATCCCTTCTCCAAAATCAGTCTCACCGAACCTGCAGTTACCACCCATCCCTTGATCTCAGCCTTGATTCTTGGTATCCTCCCTTAGCCAGCTGCAAGGATTTCTCTAGCTCATCTCCAGACACGGATGTGCACGTAACTACCCAGAATTAGGATGGCTGAGTCCACAGTACACACCTGACCACACAGAACAGGTTAATGTTCGCGTTGTACACTGAAAAGTCAATGAAAGTTGCTCGGGTCCCCCGGTCCAGCCAGAAGTTTCTCCGGAGGCCAGCAATCTGAGCAGCCGTTTCCTCCCTGGTTCTGGACAGATCCAAGTAATAGCCTGCTCCGCTGTAGGTGGCAATGATTCCCCAGTGGCTGCTCCCATTCAAGTCCTTTTCACTCGTGTAGATCCACCTAATCAAATTAAAACAACAGATCAAAGTAGTGAGAGACTTGTCGCAACTTGGAAGACAGCTGCTGCCTGCTGGGATAAAGTATATATAAAAAGTGGGCTGCAGAACTAAATAGAGAGTTTTCAATAGAGGAGTCTAAAATGGCTGAGAGGCACTTGAGAAAGTGCTCAACATCCTTAGCCATCCGGGAAATGCAAATCAAAACAACTCTGAGATACCATCTCACTCCTGTCAGAATGGCTAAAATCAAAAACACCAATGACAATTTATGCTGGAGAGGATGTGGTGAAAGGGGGACACTCCTCCATTGCTGGTGGGAGTGCCAACTGGTTCAGCCACTTTGGAAATCAGTATGGAGATTCCTCAGAAAAATGGGAATAAACCTACCACAAGAACCAGCAACTCCACTCTTAGGCATATATCCAAAAGATGCCCATTCATACAACAAAGATGTCTGTTCCACTATGTTCATAGCAGCTTTATTTGTAATAACCAGAACTTGGAAGCAACCTAGATGTCCCTCACCCGAAGAGTGGATAGAGAAAATGTGGTACATCTACACAATGGAGTACTATTCAGCAGAAAAAAATAATGGAATCATGAGATTTGCAGGCAAATGGATGACACTAGAAGAAACCATCCTGAGTGAGGTAACCCAGTCACAAAAAGAGAAACATGGCATGTACTCTCTCATATATGGATTTTAGACATAGATCTGGGGAGTGCCAGCCTACAATCCTATGGCCAGAGAGTCTGGGAAACAGAAACTTCATTTAGTGGCTGATCGAAGAAGGGGCAGACTCCCTTGGTTAAGTACTGAGCTGAACTCAAGAAAGCCAGTAACAGAGAGGGAGGACTGATGATCAAAGGGATTAAGACTAGGCTGGTTTAACCCCCAGAAACAGCTGACCAGACAAAGGTTAACTCTTGAATCCCAGGCATCAGCCTGGGAATCCAGTATGGGACTGATCAAGACCCCCTGAATCTGGGTGTCAGTGAGGAGGCCTAGGGAATCTATTGAGCCTTGGGCAGCAGATCAGTACCCATCCCAAGTATACACACGGACTTTGGACTCCCATAGAACAATGTGAAGTGCACTCTCACCCTGAACTCTTGGGGAAGGGTCTAGGCCCTGCCCTATATGAAATGACAGACTATGGACACCCCCATGGAGGGCCTCACCCTCCCTGGGGGAATGAGGGGATAGGGGGGCTTGGAGGGGGGGGCACGGGAGGAGGGGAGGGAATGGGAGAGGGACCTGGAACTGACTTGTGAAGCAACCTCGTTTCTTATCTAAATTTAAACTGGAAAATAAAATATAAAAAACAAAAAACAAAAAAAAAAGAAAGAAGAGGAGACAGAAATGAAAAAAAAATGGTGTGGTTGGAAAAACATTTCCATTTGTTTTCCTAGTGAATCCTCAGTTATTGGCCTCAGTTTAGTAAGGGGGGGCCCTGAGGCTTAGTTAATTTGTTTGATCCCCATGTGTTTTACCTTAAGAATCTAAAACCCACACTAGACCTGTCTGTCCACATAGCCTGTACCACCGTGTCCCCACCGTACTCTCTGATGACTGACTGAGGTTTACACCCCTCAGGGGCTCCCATGAAAACTGTAGACAAGAGGGGCATTGCAGTAAGTCACAGGGATCCGTATGCCAGCAATCACATTCTGGAGAGAGGGGAATAAACATGAGAGGAAGTAATGAGAAGCAACAACAACAACAACAAAAAAAGAGTAGAAACAGAGTAGGAAATCCATTTTAAAGGTTCACTTTATTTATATATTATTTATTTACTTGTGTGTGAGAGAGAATGCGTGTTAGAGAGAGTGTGAGAGAGACTGTGAGAGAGAGAGAGAGAGAGAGAGAGAGAGAGAGAGAGAGAGAATGTGTGTGGGTGAGAGAGTGTGTGTGTATGAGAGAGGGAGAGAATGTGTGTGTGTGTGTGTGTGAGACAGAGAGAGAGAAAGAGAGAGAGAGAGAGAGAGAGATCATGTGTGCCACATGCATGCCCACACCCACAGAGGCCAAAAGAGGACATAAGATCATCCCCTGAAACTGGCGGTACCAGTGGTTGCGAGTCTTCTGGGAAGAGTGCTGGGATCCAAACCTGTGTCCTCTGCAAGCACAGTATGTGCTCTTAACCACTGAGCCATCGCTTCAGTACCCCTAAGTCTGCACTTTAAAAGATTTACATTCTGAACAAACACATATTTGCAAGAACTACTAAAGTGAGTTAGGGGACAATCTTATTTGTCCTAAAGAAGTAACACTGAGCATCCTAAAGCCTCTCAAGGCTGGGATCACTTTTTTTCTCGGGTTATATGCTGGACAGCTCAGTCTTTTTGAAATGTGCGTATAGAAACCAAAAGGGAAGAGAAAGGAAACGGGAGAAAACAAGGAGAAAGGTCAGCCTGACCCATGCTGTCTGCGGATGAACGAACAAAGGATGCCACCACTGGACACGCGTCGCAGACCCTTACGCTGTTCCGTTTCGTGGTCCAAACGGAGCCCTGTCCTCACTGCTCACGGAGTAGACGTCATAGCACTCTCTAATTTCATGTCTCAAGTCCTGAGGGATGGAGCAGGACCCGTTTCTGACCCTGAGCTGGCGCAGACGAGGCAACCCTAGCAGCAGGTTCTCGTAGAAAATGAAGGTCCGGTTGTCGGCCTGCGTGCGGCTACCCGTCTGTGCCTTCCAGTACAGCCCATCCAGGAAGGAGCCTTCTGTGAACTGAAACAAAGAATGCTGGGGAAGATCCAGACTCCGAGGCCGGCTGGCTTCTGTCTGGAGCGTATGGTTACACGTCGCCAAGCCCTTGAATCTATAAGTGTAGGTCACATTGTCACAAAGCTTTGGGTTTGGATCTTACTGCCATTTGCTAGGTGTGGGGCCTTGTGCAGGATTCTCTAAGCTGGGTTCCCACATTTGGGAACCCTTTTCAGATCAGGCACCTGACACAGTATCAGTGTACTCTGATTTCTATGCTGTGACTAACAATGGAGACTAGCACATTTCATAGATACATAAAGGCCATGAACTTCACTTTCCCTTAGAAAAACAGTACCCTACATCACCGTAACTCTAGAGTAAAAAAGGTAAGAATGTCAATTACCTTTCCTACTGGATCTTTTTCTACCTGGATTTTGCTGCACATGGAGTCTTTCAATCCTACCCCTACTCTTTGTGGCTTGGCATCCATCATCATGGGATAGTGCATGTGAGAAGTTTCATGCTTGCACGAAAGGCTCTTCCTTAGTGGAGAACAGATCTAGGCATCTCTCCGTGCAGTCACTACCAGGGCATCCACAGAGACCTGCCACACTGAGCAGGGCAAACGTCAGTACTGCACAACTGTGGGTTTTAACAACAAGTGTTCTTATGCATTAAAAGGTTGTAGTGCCTAGCTTCTCCTATGCCTGAAACCATGAGCTCTGACTTCAGGGTTTAACAAGAATTCCTCATACTATTTCTCCTGGGAGAAACGATAACTTCCTTTTAAATCTCCTCTCCAATATCCCTAGGTTCTTAGTGCCACCAGGACTGGCTGAATCACCATACTGTGTTACTCACTGCTATTGCCTGCCAGGTGGAGCTTAGAAGTGAGGAGGAGGCTAAGTTGAACTTTACAGTTGCAGAGCTTTGAAATATGTCCATGTCTTATTAGGAGCTGGACATATTCTGGGAGCTGAAGGCACATGGCACTATCAACAAAGACACGAATCACAAAAAGTAGAGCAGTGTATGACACCCAAACTTCCTACCTGGGACTTGTGTCAGAGGGCAGTCTCTGTCACCATTTACAGAATTATGAATGAGAGAACAATAGGTTATAAAGAAGCAGCAATCATACAAAACATTAAAACAAACAAAACAGGTCTTTTCTTCTCCAGCCATGTGACCATAGGTAAGCACCCTGAATTTCACTTACCCTGTTTATAAGCTATGGCACACATATTAGTACGTACCTGATAAGACCACTATAGGAATTAATAGGGGTATAAAATATTCTGTGCAAAGTGCTTTCAGTGTTCAATAAATACAGAAAGGACAAGAAACTCTAACCGACTTAATATAACTCACAGCTCCGAAGACACTCATGAGTTGAACTTATGGTACCAAATGAATAATTATGGGAGACGGGAAGTACCAGTACTTTTGGTCATTTGCAAATACCTTCCAGAAGTCCTCCATCGAAGAAAGAGTTCTAAAGTTGGCTTTCTCTGTTTTAGACACTGGGGTTTCTATGAAAAGCTGTGACAATGTTCGCGTGTAGTAGTACACATTGGAGCTCATCATGCCATAGGTCACTGGAAGACAGAAAGAATTGAGTGAACATCAAGAGGGAATCTACGCACGCGTGCACAGCTGAAAGCCTCCGTGAATGGCCTGTTTCTGGTGGGTGTGCATTTTGAATAGATCAGTGTTCACATAAGTCACCTGTCAACTTTGTCTTCCCTCTCCCACCAACACTCTAGATTTTCCCTATCTCTCTGCTTATATAAGAAATATGTAGCATCGATCCTGGCCTACGTGAAACAAAACAGGCCCAACACTGAGTACTGAACTGATTTCCGATGTGGGTATTGTTTGACTTCCTACTGTCCCCTGGGTCAGCCCTTGCAGCTGTTGAGTGTGCTGCGTTCAGAACCCCCAGTCTACCTTGTCTGTCTACTCCCCCAACCCCTTCTTAGTTCTCCCAGACCACTTCTCCATCCCTGCCCTCTCACAGTTCCAAGGCTAACCTCTACAGACTTCAACACCTGAGACCGCTGTCCCTTTGGGCATCAGGGGAGGCAGGTCGATGTCCCCTGGAGCCCTACACTCATCCATTGACTATCCGGATGCAAGATGGCAGGGGATCCTTCAGCCTTGGCCACAGCTGTTAGAAGAATCCATACTGAAAATTATACGGCTCCCTCTATTGTCACCTATGCCTACAGCAGGTAACTGTTCCCAACAGGCTCTCCTCTGCTGGTCCCTTAACCTGTGACATCCTTACAAATGGCCCCTTTGTATAACTTCTTCCAGACACACTATGGCCTATGGGCTGAAGACAGATTTTCCAAAGTTACAGAGGAACTTTGGGTGATTGTCCAGGCAGCGAGATGTCTCTGTCAGTTCTAGAGTTTATATATTATCCTTCTGAGGTCTTTGACGAAGTTGAAGACAGATAGTTATGGTTATGGTTTCATTAGTTATATAAAAAGTAAGTTACACATAAAAGTTTAGACTCACAAAGATAGGAAAGATGAGAGAATATTTTCTTTAAATTTTGCCAAATGTTAATGGACTAAATATTAACTATAGTTCTTACTTGATAACTGTTTTGTTATTTATACTTTTACTATGTTAAAGTTAAAGCCTTTCTTTTTAATTAAACAGAAAAGTGGAGATGATGGGGGATGGCCTTCTGTAAATATGTTTCTCCTATTGGTTGATGAACAAAGCACTGATTAGACAGTAGAGTCAGGAAGACAGGCAGGGCTACCAGACGAGGAGAATGCTGAGAAGAGAGGCAGAGAGGTCGTGGAAGGAGACGCCATGTAATCAAGGAAGAGAACTGGTAGGGATCCTCCTCTGGTAAGATAAGATCATGTGGAAATACTTAGATTAATAGAAATGGGTTAATAATTAAGAGAGCTAGCCAGTAAGAAGCCCTAGCCACCGGCCAACAGATTTATAATTAATATACTGCCCATGTGTTTATTTGGGGCAAAGTGGCTGTGGGACCAGGCTGGAAAGAAACTCCAGCTACAATTACTACTCTGCCTCCAACATGTCAATCAAACCCTGTGTGGGAAACTGTGATCCAAGCTATGGTCCCACTGGTGGCCCTCATGGATCATAATAATGGACCATGGAGGAGGCAGCATAGCAGCTCGGAGGAGTAGAGATGCATTTCTGGATGTTTCTTACTTCCTGAATGGCTGTTTTTACTCTACAAGCTTCAGACTCCTGTTTTGTGAGGTATGGTAAGTAGCTCCTCTATAGGATTTACGGGTGCTTTATTAAGAATAACTAACACCTACTTGATACAGGGAAAACAGCACTTAAGCAATGTTCAGCACTGTTGGATTTTCCTTTCTAACTGGTGTGCTACAAAACATTTATCAGAAACTTGGGATTTCCAAGCCAGCAAGGTGACTCGATAAGGAAAGCCACTTATCACGTATCCCTGGCAACCTGAGCTTAATTTTGGAAACCCATGTAAAGGTGAAAGAAGAAAAATGGAGTGCTCTGACCTCCACATGTACACCACAGCATGCCTGCTTCCGTACACACATCATACATACATTTTGAAAACTAAAGCTTTTAGCACTTTGGCAAGTACTGTTTTATGCTGGAATTATTATGACTACAGGTGTACTATGCTATAATTCCTATACTTTGCTAAAAACAAAAGGCTTCAAGAGGTAGGGATCTGTTTTCTGTATCTCTTGATCACAGTGATGAACACACAGATGACTATTTCGTGATTCTGTAATGACTTGTGTTAAACCAATTTTGTTTAAATGATTGGTAAGTCTGTCTCTCTTGCCCAACTACTGTCAAGCAGCATATCAAATTAAGATTATTAAAGAAGAAATGTTGGGAAGGTGAGCCAACATGAGTGTGTGTGACACTTTTTCTCTACAATCCAACATGAGTGTGTGTGAGAGTTTACAATCCAACATGAGTGTGTATGAGAGTTTATCTCTACAATCCAACATGAGTGTGTGTGAGAGTTTATCTCTACAATCCAACATGAGTGTGTGTGAGAGTTTATAATCCAACATGAGTGTGTGTGAGAGTTTATCTCTATAATCCAACATGAGTGTGTGTGAGAGTTTATCTCTACAATCCAACATGAGTGTGTTTGAGAGTTTATCTCTACAATCCAACATGAGTGTGTGTGAGAGTTTATCTCTACAATCCAACATGAGTGTGTGTGAGAGTTTACAATCCAACATGAGTGTGTTTGAGAGTTTATCTCTACAATCCAACATGAGTGTGTTTGAGAGTTTATCTCTACAATCCAAAATGAGTGTGTTTGAGAGTTTATCTCTACAGTCACTTAAGCAAGAAATTAACAGAGACCCACATTTTGTGCAATTGTGCAGAGTATATTAAATATTTTCCAGTCCCTCACCTGCCCTTCTATGATGTAATGTATTTCGAATAACAACAACGTTCTTCACATGAAACATGACCTACTCCCCATCCAACACCAGACTGATCCTAGTTCAGGATCTGGAATTCTAATCCATTCAATGGCACAGTTATTAGACATAAGTATTAACAAGAAGTGACCTCTCCCTCCAAACGAGGGACTCATATGTCCTCACAAAGTGTGCTGCCGGGCCACTAACCTCCCACAGATGGATGGGTAGAAGTGCCCCGCCCTAGGCAGCAATGCCTGTGAATCCAGTCACAAGGGACAAAAGGGTGATGACGGAAGAGCCCTCGCAGTCAAATAAATGGCTAGGTGGTTACGTGTGAAATCAGGTTGTAGACTTTGGGTACTGGTTTATATAGAACATTTTGGGGGAGTCTTACCTATTGGCTGTTGTTGGAAGCTATTTGTGGATAGGTTAAAATTATACACATCTAAAGATGGTATAGACACCACCTTCGAAAGGTGTCTCCTTTGTCTCCCTTTATTCTTCAAACCAGATACTAGTGTTTGCTGCTGAAACTCCACTATGTGTATAGCACCCCCTGCTGGACATCAGCAAATGATGCTTCTAACACTGAAGGCCAAAAACTGCTGGGGCACCAAGAACTGTTTCTGAATTGTGTCAAGATACAGCTGACCCAGTTACCTAGGAGCAACATTCTTCATATGCCCAGAGCAGGAACAGTGTGAGTACATGTCAGAGGCATGTAGGCATGTACTCAACACCAGACAGTCTAGGTTGGAACCTCACCTGGGCTCCAGAGTCCTTGCCTCTGAGCTCACAACAGACGGTGCTGGAGTGCTGGCACCCCTGGATCTTGAACAGCTATTAACCAGTCCTCCTGAGTGTGGACTTGAAAATGAGCATAATAATCCTGAAAGCTTTTCATGAAGCCCACTAAGAGGCGTATGTGAAGGAAGGCATCTGCACAGTGTGAACTGGAAACATGACAGACACACGTCTTCCAGGCCCCAGTGGAGGAAACCCACTGGCAAGGTGGTACTCACTCTCGAAATGAACTGAACGCCAGTGTGTGAAATATATAAACTTAAACGGAGACTGCAAAGGAAGACAAGCATATATTTATATGATATCAGGTAATGGATCTGTATGAGTGTGTGCGTGTATGTGTGAGAGAGAGAGTGTGTGTGTGTGTGAGAGAGAGAGTATGTGTGTGTATGTGTGAGAGAGAGTATGCGTATGTAAGTGTGAGAGTGTGTGTGTATGTGTGAGTATGTGTGTGCGTGTGTGAGAGAGTGTGTGTGTGTAAGTGTGAGAGTGTGTATATGTGAGAGTGGGTGTGTATGTGTGAGAGTGTGTGCATGCGTGAGAGAGTGTGTGTACGTGTGAGAGTGTGTATATGTGAGAGTGTGTGTATGTGAGAGTATGTGTGTAAGTATGAGGGTGTGTATATGTGTGAGAGAGTTGTAAGTGTGAGAGTATGTGTATGTGCAAGAGTATGTGCGTGTAAGTGTGAGAGAGTGTGTGTAAGTGTGTGAGAGTATGTGTGTGTGAGTGTGAGAGTGTAAGTGTGTGAGAGTATGTGCGTGTAAGTGTGAGAGAGTGTGTGTAAGTGTGTGAGAGTATGTGCGTGTAAGTGTGAGAGTGTGTGTATATGTGTGAGACTGTGTGTGCATGTGTGAGTGTGTGTGTAAGTATGAGTGTGTGTATGTGTGAGAGAGTTGTGTGTAAATGTGTGAGAGTGTGTATGTGTGAGATATTGTATGTGAGAGAGAGTGTGTATGTGCGTAATGTACACATATTCCATCTGCCATTTTTTCTCTTAACCCCTCATTTTCCATTTTTCCAAAAGAAGTCAAACCAAAATACATTAAAACACAGGCTACCCTTGAACACATTGGCACCAGAGTCAACTTCCTGAACAGAACACGAATAGCCCAGGCACTAAGATGGACAATTAATAAATGGGACCTCATGAAACTGAAAAGTTTCTGTAAGGCAAAAGACACTGTTAATAAGACAAAATAGCAGCCTACAGAGTGGGAAAAGATCTTCACCAATCCCACATCTACAAGGGGCTGATTTCCAAAACATATAAAGAACTCAAGAAACCAGACATCAAAAAACCAAATAGTCCAATTAAAAAATAGGGCACAGATCTAAACAGATAATTCTCACTAGAGGAATCTCAAATGACCAATAGACTTAAAGAAATGCTTAACATCCTTAGCCATGAGGGAAATGCAAGCAAAAATGACTCTGGGACTCTATCTTTCACCTGTCAGAATGGCTAATACCAAAAGCACAAGTGATAGCCCATGCTAGAGAGGACGTGCAATCAAGAGAACACTCCTCCATTGCTGGTGGGAGGGCAAACTTGTACAGCCACTATGGAAATCAATATGGCAGTTTCTGAGAAAATTGGGATTCAATCTACCTCGTGATCCAGCTATACCACTCTTGAGCTTGTACTGAAAGGATGCCCAATCATAGCACAAGGACATTTGCTCAACCATGTTCATAGCAGCTTCATTCATCGTAGCCAGAAACTGGAAACAACCTTGATGTCCCTCAACCAAGAATGGATAAATGTGGTACATTTACACAATGGAGTATTACTCAACTGTTAAAAGAAAATCATGAAAACTGCAGGCAAATGGATATAACTACAAAAAACATCCTGAGACACAGAAAGAAAAACACAGGACATACTTGCTCATAGTAGATATTAGCTGTAAAGGATAACCATGCTACAATCCACTGAGTCAGAGAAGCTACATAACAGGGAGAGCTCAAGCAGGGACTAACAGATCTCTCTGAGAAGGGGAAACAAGACAGATATCACAGGTGGAGGTGGGGGACAGGGACAGGAGGAATCAGGTGGGGGAAGGATGGAGGAAGAGATACTGAAAGAGACAACTGGTATTGGAGTCATCCTAGGAATAAACTAGAAATCTAGTATAATGGAAACTCCCAGGAGTCTACGAGGGTGACCCTAGCTAAGACTTCTAGCAAAGGGGGATAGAGAACCTGATCCAGCCATCTTCTGTAATCAGGCAAGACCTCCAATGGAGAGACTGGGACACGAACCCAGCCACAAAACCTTCAACCTACAATTTGTCCTGCCTACAAGATGTGCTGGGGTTTAAGTGGTGCAGAAATTGTGGAAGTGGACAACCAATGACTGGCCCAGCTTGAGACCTATACCACCTACTTGAAGAGACTCTGTCTACAAACACATGGTGCTAAGTTTGAACTGGTGTAGTTGTCATCAACTCGAAGTTCTCTGAATTGGTGAATGAAGACAAACTAGTGAATGAGAAAACCAAGTAAGAAAGAGGAGGAACAGAAGTGAGCAACAAGCCAGGGGTGAAGAGCAACTCTGCACACAGAACTGTGGTGTTGTAGAATATTCCTTTACACTGTGTGGAGATGTGTCACTGTGCCCGGTCTGATGAAAAGCTGAACGGCCAATAGCTAGGCAGGAGGTATGGGCGGGACTTCTGGACAGAGAGAACCCTGGGAAGAGGAAGGGCGGACTCAGGATAACCAAGATGAGCATAAAGCAGATAAAATGGCGAGCTCATGGAAGAACATAGATTAAAGAATATGGGTTAATTTAAGTTATGAGAGCTAAGGCTGAGCTTTCATAATTAATAAGTCTCTGTGTCATTTTTTTGTGAGCTGGTGGCCCAAAAAGAAAAGTCTGACTACACTGCAGTGCACAGGACAGCTCCCTCCTTCCTTTCTTCCTTCTCTCCTTCCTTCCAAGCATGACAAATGCGGGGAACCAGCCAGACAACCCACTGTGATGACACAGGGCAGAGCAGGCCCACTTGAGATGGCACCACAGAGCTTCTCCCTGGATCTGGCTCCTGAGCTGACCCTGAGGGAAAGAAGAGGAGTGGCAACAATGCTCTGCTTGGCTCAACAGTAGTGAGGCTCTGGAACCTTCTAGGCCTTCTAGCTCCTAGCCCTCACCACAAACTGCTGTCAGCCTAACCAAAGCCCTAGAAACCATCTTCTGTGTCTGATCAGGTGACTCAGCCTCCATCACTGCCCAAGAAATGCCCCGCGACTGACTGCCCTGTCTGCCGCCAAATCCTGTCAGGCGGGTTGAGTCAGAAACCATTTACACCAATGTTCCCTCCAAAAACTATAACCTAACTAAAGTAAAAGATGTAGCACTGACAGGAAAAATAAGAAAAAGCCAACCCAGAGATTTCTAGAATAAACAAGAAAACACGGCTAGTTGCGTAACTTCAGTCAGGGTTCTTTGGCTCTCAGTCTTCAGTTTATTTATTTGGCCTCATTCCCAAATTTACTCATCTGAAAACATACTTTTCCTCATTTTGAAGAGTTTTAGTTGACCTGCCAAAGCTGTAAACTTTTTTTTTTAAGTTCTCTTGGCAACTGATGTTCAGTCTGGAGGATTACACAAAATCTAGACTTCCTTTGCACTAGAAATAGGCTTGCATATGTGACGTTTGAAAATGCTGAGTAACTAATGAACCTGTTAATGCAAAAGCCAATGTGGTTTAATATTTAAGCGCCACTTCTGTGCTGGGGACAAGCCCAAGCTCAGTGTTCTGTGCTCCAACGGCTAAAGAACATGGAAGTCTGAAATATTCCATCTCATCGTGTATGTAAGGAATGCAATACACTGAGCTCATAGCAGTAGGATGGTGGCTGCCAGGGCTGGGGGGGGGGGGGAAGGCAGGTGACCCTCCAAGGCAGCCGTGACGTAACAGCTGAGAGACAGTGATGGGAAGGAAGCTGGCTTCAGCCAACAGCTGAAAAAATCAGGGCGAATTCTGAGACAAAAGAAATGCTGTAAATTTGGATTGTGGGGGCTACACATTGGTACATTAGAAAAACCAATGAAACATGCTTATGTGCATGGATCTTAAGGCATATATAAAAGTTACATCTCATCAAAGCCATTTCCTAAATAAAGCTTTCTTCCTCTAAAGGGACAAAACAAAAACAATACAAAACAAAAAATTGTCACTTTTAAGCCTGTTTGTGGTTATTTATTTTCAATGTCTGGATTTTCTCCGTTAGCAGCAGATTGTACTTTGCTATCCGAGACGATTCCGTTTCAGAGCTGTAGTCAGACCATTATCTCCATAGCAGGTATTAAATTAAATATTCAATAAATGAGGCACATCTACAAGTACCAGGAATAAACAATAGGTCACTAAAACAGAAAGTAATAACATGAAACTTATTTAGATTTAGATTTTTTTCTCTAGGCAAACATTCCTGGGTCTGCTCTCCTGTCAATTACACTCTTGGGAACATTTTCACTGTTTTTCCATCTGCAGCATATTCTAGGGAGTAGATGAGGAAAACGGATGAGGACGCACACAGGAAGGCCGCTCCCAACTGCTGAGCACCTCTCCGGTCTCCTACCCAAAGAACATTATGAAACTACTGATCAATTTCTGATTCTCTCCACATACAAAAAGATAAACTCTTCTCTATGTGGGTATCATTGTTAAACAATCTCTCAGTCTACACTGGAAGAGGCAGGTTTCTCCTTCGGGAAGTTTAGTAAAAAGCCTGGGGGCGGGAGTGGTACAAACTGGCTTCCTTGTCCCCATAAAAGGCCTCAGAGAAGACATAACAAAAATCTGTGCTTCAGGGCCAGCAAGATGGTCAGCAGCTATGGCACTTACCAAGCAAGGCTAATGGCTTAGGTTCAAGCTGAGTCTGGATAAAAGTGGAAGGAGAGAAATGACTTTACAGTTGTCCTCTGACCTCCCCAAGAACACTGGTGTGGGAATGCACACTCTCTCTCTCTCTCTCTCTCTCTCTCTCTCTCTCTCTCTCTCTCTCTCTCTCTCTCACACACACACACACACACACACACACACACACACACACACACACACACACAGACGCTTTAAAAACCCACACTTCAACATGCTTCTACTCAGGATACATGATGTGCCTGTAACTTTTCTGGCCTTAGAAGCAAACGGTTCATGAGATGAGTTCTGAGCTACAGCTTCCCTCCACTCCCTCCCCAGCCTTTCCATCTGCTGAAATACACAACATGGTTGCTCATTGTACTTTTTCTCAAAATGAGAATGCATGAACACACCGAAGTAAGAGAGGAGGGAAACAAACTAGGTCAGCTAGGTTTCCCCTAAAGCCCAGTGGCCCTGGAGGACTCGGCAGAAATAATGCACTTTAAGGAAAGCAGTGACTCAAACTGTTAGGATCCCAAAGGGGCCCTTGGAAGGCATGTGCCACCATGAGCAGTCTTAGGAAGCGCTATCACCTGAGAGTTAGACACCACGGAAGTGTGACATTCACTGATATGAAATCGAACATCCAAAACCTTTGGCTGGGATTTTTGTAGACAGCAGGTTTCATGTGCATCTCACAGTGAAGTCCATCACAACTAACAACGAACTAGCCAGCAGGGAACTTCCCCAAAGTCCAACCTGAACCGGAAACCACACTGAAAATTGCTGGCTTGAGCCTCCAGGTTCTCACATACTTCTCTTCAGTCGTGATCAAGACAGGTCAAACACCTTCAAAACATTCCATTAGAGAGACAAAGAGTACTCACAGATGCACAAGACTATGAGGAAAAGGAGGTGAGTGAGCAGTTCCCGGAGCACACTTTTAAGGTATTTCTCTCGGTTAGTGTTGCTCTCTTCCATGAGTCTTGTTCCCCAGAGACCTTTAAAATAATGAAAAACAAACAAAACAAGGTCATCTTTCCTAAGAAATTTCACAAGTGACAAAAGGAAAAATGAAAGGAATACTGACCCAGTTCTCATATGGAAATAGGAATACATAAGACTATGCATGCATGCAAACTGCACGCGACTCACAGTGATTTTTATTTAGTATAGATCATGCCCCATCCACCTCAAAAGTACAAAATCCAAGGCAGCTCAATCATTTTTTGTAACTTCTAGGACCATTAGCAAATATCTTTAAAAGCTTAGGAGGATGGAAATGAAGGCAATTTAAAAGATTTAGCAATTGTTAACATCACAATGTCACATCGCTCTTCTTCCTGCTTTGTAAAGGATACACCCAGTAACACCCCCCCCACACACACACACACATACTAAAGCTAAGTAGATGGTGTGACTACAGGGTAAACCACTCCTGAGGTTGACACAGCAAAATCCAAGCTGCTGCATCATTCCAACTTGAAAACATCTACTGAGCTTCTAGCATGCTCGGGGCTCACTTTTGTCCTGTAAGAAACACAGTGACAACTGACCATGCTTAGCCTGTTTAAGCTTAATAGGTGTTTATTAAGTGCCAATTAATATGGTTTTAAAAGAACAGCAATGGTGATTGTGGCCCCTCGGTCTTGCTTTTGGGAAAAACTACAATGAGCAACCATGTTGTGTATTTCAGCAGATGGAAAGTGTCAGGCTGGTGAAGCAGAGCTGATGTAACCCTCGGAGAGGTTGCTGGATGGAATTATCGGTTTGGGATTCAGCCAGCAGGCAGCGTGGTGACTGTCCAAGCCCTGTTAATGAACCCTGTGGTCAAGTCACAATGCTGGTTCCTTGGGAAGAGTCTTAATGGCTTCGGCAAAACACTAACTTCTCAATTCTTCCAGAGAGGTTATTAATAGACACAAACCTGGCTCCCCATGTCACCTGCCGTACATTCTAGACCTTACCCCCTTCATTAACTCAAATTCAGACCACACTTGAGTCAGAAACAAGCCACAGGGAGAAATGGGAACAGTGAAGGGTTTTTCACATCAAGGAAATGAGATCATCATTAAGGCTGATACACTTTTTAGGCCCTTGTATAAACACAAGAGCTCTACTCTATTAAGTTCAGCTATTCCATTTTCCCTTCCTTCCTTTAAAACCTTAGCATCTAAACATCAAGGACACTGTGATGCTCATCGCAGGCTTCAGCACTCTGAATGCTGAACACAGTTCATGACCAGGTCTACTGCTGCCAAGAGCTGGTATTTGTCAGGGAATTGCTCACGCAGAAGAAATGCAGCAAGCAGGGTGTTTATTCATTGCAATTCTGTCATATTCAATGGTTTTTTACAAATTTAGATGACATGGAAAACTACAAATCAGGCTAGCACAGCACCAAGGATCAGGCTCGGCAGCATTGGGTACAACCATACTTCTATCTTTGGGTAGAGTTCTTCTAGAGGCCTGGCCTGCAGTATACATCTGGTGACTGCTGGTCTCTTTAGCATCTTTACTGCTATGTGGTCAGTGATTTTATACTTTCCACTGGTTTATAGACAGCCATGCACTAAGGAATAGACATAATTTCATACAAATGGTATTCTCTGACCTTTAAATAGAAACAACACAAAAACGACGTCAGATTTTTCTCAAGCCAAATTTGCAATGAATTATGGCAATTTAATTCAAGCCCTTAAAAGGAAATGAAAAGAAACACCCCCTCTTTTCTTATCCCTCTATACTATCATGTATTTACTTTTTCTAAAATACCCTAACTACCTCCTCAATATTAACAACCGTTAATTCCCCACACTGGGGGTCTACACCTTAGGAGACAGGGCCCCTCTGCATCACTGCCTTGCTGCAGACTACAGCCAGCATTCATGAGTTGACAGGAAAGAGTGTGGTTCAAGGTGCACATCACACAAATGACTCATATTTGCAAGCCCCAAATGAACACCCTCCTTTGTCTGTCCCCCTCTAAAAACGTATTTGAGCAAATGGCATCAAACAAGAAATCTGAGGTCCATCTCAAAGTGAGCTCTCCTCGTATCCTTCTTCACATGGAGTTGGTTCTGTAAGTATTTTATGTGTCGAGACAGGGCCTCGCTATGTAGCTCAGTCTGACCTTGAACTTGGAATGCTTCTCCTGCCTCTGCCTCCCGGCTGCTGGGAACACAGACATGCACCACCAAGCACATCAAGCCTGACTCTGTAACTCTGACGGCTTCTGTCTTTAATCTAGGCCTGTAGCATCACAGCCTGGATGCTGAACTGCAATTCTGGTCACCCCTTTTCTGTGCCAGCTCCTTCCTGACCATCCACTCACTGTATCCTCTACGTTCTTCAGTCTGGCCTATGATTATTCTAGCCTTGTCTAAAGTCTCTCCATAAGTCCCAATAACTACAGGAAAATGTACCAACTCCCTAATGCAACATTCAGGTCTGCTTAGCCTTGGTCCCAGCCGAATCCCCCCTCCCCACTTCAAAGTGAGAACCCCACCCATGAGGACAAAGGCCACAGTGAATCCTTCGAGTGAAGGGGTTTAGCACTCCCCTAACTTTCTGCCCAACCCTCGGCTCTGGACCTTAGGGAGGTTCCAGGAAGGGAATATCTGGAGCAGCAACTGACACAGCAGGGAAGAGAGAATGCTAGGAAGGATCATGGGAGACTAGTCACCTGGGAGGCAGCCTGCCCATCAGCTCAGCTAACTACATCTCTCAGCAGTGTTCCACACAGGACTGTTGAGAGACAGGTACTGAGGGCCGAGAGCAATGCTGGAGAGCTGGTGCCACAGACTCCATAGCGGGACCAGACTCCACACTGAGTGCACTGGCTGTAAGCATCAAGTCTGAGGGATGCTACCCACAAGGTCTAGCCTAGCACCCACCTCTGAAGGGTGGCCCCCTGATATCCACAAGGTCTAGCCTAGCACCCACCTCTGAGGGATAGGCCCCTGCTACCCACGAGGTCTAGCCTAGGACCTGCCTCTGAGGAATCATCTCCTGCTACCCACAAGGTCTAGCCTAGGACTCACCCCTGAAACATTATACTGAGGTTCAGCCTTCACAAACTGGTAAACAGCTACTCTGGGAAAGCTCCAAAGATCTCAGAGACGTCCCAGAAATCTGAGTTTGGTATTAGTTTAACTGTGATCTGAGTACCTACCCCCTGGAGAGATGAAGGAGGAGGATGGAAAGTCCCAGGCCAGCTTGTATTGTGATCCTGTCTCAAAAGACCAAAATTTTAAAACACCCAAAGCATGTCCATCATTAGGGAGGAGGTAGGGAAATGGAGTGTGTCTGTGTGAATACGATCAAATATATTGTATGCATGTAAGAAATTCTCAAATATAATAAAAATATTAATTTAAATAAAAAGACATGCCCATCAACTAAGTAGTGGATAAACAAAATGTAGTATGTGTTTACAATGAATCTAGGAGCCAGTCATCTATAGGAACAAAGTTCAGGTACACACAGATGTGTGGAGGAGCTTGAAAACAGGCTGCACAAAATAAGTCAGACATAGCAGGGCAGATTCTGATTTCATTTATAGTGGATTTGTACATGATTCTGAAAAAGTGTGGGGAAAATAGTTAAGTAGAGCCACACTGTCATAAATATATCTAATACTCAGTTAGCTGTAGTTAAAAGAGTAAATTTGATGTTGCACATACTTTGGCACAACTTAAAAAAAAAACAATAGATTCTTCCACTTTAGACAAATAGGAATCTGGACACACAGAGTAGTTGTATGGTTAATCCTAAATGTTCTAAATAAATCAGCATTTAAAAACTAGGAAACTGTGAAAAACTGTTGGCTCCAATGCCTGCAATTAAATCCTAGTTCCAATATTTATGTAGTTGTGACCTCGGGAGAGTCATTTAAGCTGCTATAAAAGCCTTGGCTCCCTCCTCAGGAAGATGGTGTGAGGATAACTTCTACAATATAGGGGACAGCGAAGGACAAAACAAACTATGGCCATTAAAAAGTCTCCAAGAGTGCTGAGCACAGTGAGCAAGTCCCTGTCACTTAGCAGGTTAGGGCAGCTGTTTCAACCTCTCTCCTCCTGACATGCAGGATGGGCTGCTGTGCTGTAGCGAAGGAAGAGCCGCCCTGTGCTCTGTAAGATGTCAGCACCGTTCTCGCCTTCCAAACAGCAGGTGCATCCCTCCTCCCCTCTGGGGTTGTAAATGCCCACTATACATTCAGATACCTCCAAATATTCCTTAAAGGGCAAAAGTTCCCCTTCGCACACTTGAAAACTTCCTATCTAGCATAACACCGAGATGGTGATGCAGTAAAAAGGGATTCTGGAGATTCAAAACAGGCCAAACTAATCAATCCCTGCACACAATGATCCCAAGCCGCCATGAAGAATGGAGAGTATTGTCAATTATCATTTTGGTGTGGTAATATTTGGTATAGCCACATTTGGACCTTCACAAACTTTAATAATCTTTCCAATAAGTGAATACACTGCTCTGTAGACATCAAAAGGGAAGGCAGAAGAAATGCAAGTTAAATATGAGACAAAACCATGACGGCCACTTATCAAACAGTACACATCATTGCCAAGTTCTGTTTATTTCAGGAAAAATGAAAGTAATCCTCACATTCATTTGGACCCTAGCAATAAGTGACAGGGGTTCCTAATTGCAGACAAAAATCCATTTCTCCCCTGCTGGATATGTGGCTACATAATACTTTTTAGCCACCCTGACAGTAGCGTTAGTTATATGAATGAAGAATTTGCAGCAGGAGTCAAAGTGATGAGTGATATTTCCAGGACGATGTCTGGGCCACTGCCATCAAATCATTCAGTTGTCCTTGGCTTCCTCCGGCCCAGGCTTTCAGCACCTCTTCACTGGTGGCCTCCTGCCACACCTGCCTGGCTGATGTCGCTATCTACCTCTGAGAACCACCCAGTACACCAAGCTGCCGAGTCCCATTCATCCAGCATACTCTGTTGCAGCTGAGAAGCCTTCAACTGCCTCTTCGTATTTAGAGATACATCTTAATTGCCCAGTTAGATGCAGTGTGCTCCAGAGTGAGGCTTCGGACAGTCCTGCAACCTGACTACTCGCTGCTAGAGGGTAAGTCCATCCACTGTCCATAGAATGGGAAATACCATTTGCTGTCCACCTGCAATTACTGGGGGCAGCAAGGGCATGGGAGACCAAGCCCAACCCTTTCATTATAATTGAGAAGCTGAGGCCCAAAGAGACGGAAGAAGTGACAGGGGAGAGCCTGACTGTGGTGACATTTTGTTTATGATCTAACAAATAAAGCTTGCCTGAAGATCAGAGAGCAAAGCTAGTCACACTTTTAGCCATAGAGGCCAGGCAGTGGTGGCACACACCTTTAATCCCAGCACTCGGGAGACAGAGGCGGACAGATCTCTGTTAGTTCAAGGCCACCCTGAGCTACACAAAATTGATGTAGTCTAAAAGAGAAACAGCTCACACAAAGGTGATCTCAGCCCTTGGGATTCCATGCCTTTAATCCCAGCACTAGAGAGGAATATGAGGCAGGAAGAGACAGGAACTCAGTGCAGTCTGAGGCTTGGTGGAGACAGATACAGTCTGAAGATGCATCTGAGGACAGGATCACCCCTTCTGTCTGAGCACTGGTAGAGATGAGAACTCTCTAGTGGCTGGCCACTTTTCTTTTTCTGATCTTCAGCACTAACTCCAATATCTGTCTCTGGGTTTTTATTATTCATGCTACTACACCTGACAGTAATCTCCCTTAACAATTCCCACCATCACTGAGTATAGCAAAAGTCACTTTCTGTCCTGATCCTCAGGATTATTTACATGATATATACAAGGTTCCTATTGCTGTTATCTCACAAGACAGAAAAAAAATCCACTTCTCATTCACGGTGGGTTATTTTACATTTCTGGGCTCTGTCCTTTGGAAAACAGTGATAGGCTACTGTAGCTTATTTCCTTTTATAGCTGCTAGCAGCACACCATCTTCATGCTAAATATTTAATTCATGTGGCTTATTTAATAAGTCACAAGGATGCCAACTCCATTTCCTCATAATGGAAATAAAACATTTAAAAATTTCCATAATTAATAATTTCCCAAATCTGCTCTCTTGTGAATTACACCTTCGATAGATGCACCAGCCCATTATTACTTTTACAGTTTATTAAATGTTACTGAAGGAACAGATGCAGAGACACACGGGGCAAGACCCTGGGGAGGAACTCACAGCTACCAAGTCCTCTCCAGTACCCCTCTCTCTCTGAGCCCCTACAAAGTTCCCACTGATCAAGCCTTTCTCATTGTGAGCTTACTGAAATTCTTCTTTAAAATGAATTAAACCTATACACATATATGTCTCAATATAAAACGATTATTAATTGTCTTCCATTATTGAGTTCAAAGTTAAGTATATTGCCAACAGCTCAAGGTGATTTAAAATCACATGACTTTCCATTATCCACCGATTATAAGAAGCGTGTATCTCATTTGGTGAATTCTTTTTAAAGCACTTCTCACATAGTTTTAAAATAAGAATCTGTTTCACATGGTTTAGATATTAGGGATCACCAGTGTTTTCCTATTCTATTAAAGTTACCTCAAAAGGACATTTTGTGTTTCACAATGCCGGAGTCACATTATCTAGAGCACACATATAAACACAGGGCCATCGTTTGTAATATTCGTGAAACACAATGTGGTAGAGATGTGCTGCCCATTTTAGAGGTCTTCTCATTAAATTCTTCCAACACATTCAGGGCTATGGACTGGCTACTTCTTTCCTTAAAGAAAACTTAAGGATCAGAGCAGTTAAATAACACGTTCAAGGTCGAACCGTAGGAGAAGCCGGATTTAAATGTAGGCGTGACATGTCTAAACCACACTGCTTCGACATTTAGTTTCTGTGCAGGACTGCCAACTGCAGAGAGAGGAGAGCAAGGGGCCGGGAAACAAGAAACATCAGGATGGAGCTCTTAGAAAGGTGGAGAGGAAGATAACTAGCTGGATGAGAGTTAGTGAATCGCTTTTCCTCGGATGCCTCTGGTGGCAAAACTTTGAGAACACGGGATTCAGTCTGCTATTGGAAAATTCCTGTCCTCCCCAGCCTTGGGGAGAGTTGTGTGCATGGAACGCTGACACATTAACCAGCTGTTATCTGGAGAGAAATCGTCTTGCTGGAATGGAAGAGAACACTATTTTAAAACATACTTTTAGTCGTTAAACACACATGGGGTGGGGGTTATATTTCCTTTGCAACTGTTTAACAGATATGTCCAGAATCAGAAACGGTCAAAAATGCTTTTCTATAAACATTACTGTATTCATGCTGTCAACAATTCTCCTCTCAACCAATGGTACCCATCTAAAAGCATCACTCTCAAAACTTGGGTAACACTGTAGGTCCCTTCCTAGACGGGCTGAAGGGATATGACGCATCACCACCTGGAATAAACTTGCTCATTTTGTGACATTTAGCAGACACAGTTCCAACTATCACCAGTTGTACTAGAACATTCTCTGTTCGTCCTCCACAAGACCCAGATACTCCCTTAAACGGCTTTCTCCCATTTTCCAAAGTGTGCTAGCATCCTAATGAGAGAGGGAGGCGCCTGAAGAATTCAAACCAAGGGCGCTGTGGAATTTCGCGCTGGGTACCGGAAGTCGCACAGAGTTAGCAGAGGTAGGGAGGGCGCTCGGGAAGGAGGCAGGAACGCGGAAGACGAGGGTTCGAGCCTGCAAGCAGGCAGTTCTCCCGCGCGCACCGGACTCCGTGGAAACCCGTCCTTACCTCGCAGCCCGCGCACCAGCCTCTCGGCCCAGGCCACTCGGGGCGGCTGCCCGTCCAGCGGGAGGTGGCGATGCAGCGGGTCCCCTCCGCCTGCGGGGCTGGGGCACGGTGCTCCCTGGTCCTCCAGCCGGCGCCTCCTCCCGCTCGGGTGCCCGGCGCCCCGGTAGCTCCCCAGGGCTCGTCCTCGGGCGCCCGCCGAGCTCACAGCCGAGGAGGAGGCCGACCTGCGACTGCCGGGGCGCCACTCCACGTCCATCTCCACCACCATTCCTCCTTCTTCTCCTTCCACCTCGTCGTCGTCCTCCTCCTCCTCGGCCTCGAAGCCCGGGTTATCGCGGCTCCACGCTTGCCGGGAGCATGACGAGAGCGGAGGAGAAGGGGAGGCTGAGGCTCCGGCCGGGGGGTCCCGCGCAGCCGCCTGCCGGATGCGCTCCATCTCGATCTCCAGGCCCCGCTGCTCCCGGAGGCCTCCCGGGACCGCCAGGCCGCCGCCCACCGCAGCGCCTCCCGCAGCCAGCCGGCCCGGGCCCGGAGCTCGCGGTGCGGGAGAGCGCTTCGCATCCCCGGGCGGCTGCGGCTGCACGCGGTTGGAGTTCACCATCGCGGTCACTGGCGCCCAGCGCGCCCCGGAGCGCCGCTGCCCTCGGCCGCGGGAGCCATGTTCTTTTCTTCCCGGGGTCCGCCGCCTGCTCCCCGCCCCCGCCCGCCCCCTCGGCCCGCCTCCTGGGGCCGGGCCTCGTCTCTGCTGGCTTCAGGCGCTGGGAAAGGGCCCAGGCTGCCAGCGTGCCCCGCCAACGTTCCAAGTGGAACCAGGGTCCCGAGTGGCGCCCACATTCCTATGGGGTAGCGCGCGAAACGAGTATGTGCTTGGCCGGCCAGCTCCTCTGGAAAAGGAGTCTTGGATTTGTCCATGCCTGCATGACCTCGAGATAATGCTTAGGCCCTGTCCATCCCCTGCCTACGTTCACCAAGTCGCAAAGAGGAGAGTAAAGACTGAGACCTTCTCGTGGGACAGTGTGAACTAGTGAAATCCAGCTTGAACCGAAGCCTCCGGGAGGGCAAAGAAATCTACCCTTCGTTTAAAAAGCAGAACAGATCACTAAGGCTGCCTCGCCTTGCTCTTGGTGGCCCTCATCCCCCTGATTCTCCTGGTGATCGGGTGATTTCCCCTCTGCTCTCTCCAGACATCCCCAGGATTCCAAGGGCTGGGTTTTGGGACTCTCGGATTGCTGACACCTCCACCTTTATCTCATTTCTGCTCCAGCTCAGCACTGGGCTCTGAATAACGGATCCTGCCTCAGGCGTTATTTCTAGATCTTTATTCCTGTCTACGCCCCAACTAGAACATCCAACTCAATGCCCTGCAGAAGCTTCATGCTAAGCCTACTCCAAGCTCAATTTTTTATGGTGTCTCCATCTCTTTTAAATTTCGTATCCCTGATTGAGACTTAAGCATGTCTCCCTCACTTCTGAGGCTTCTCTTAGGACATTTCTCACCTGCCTCCTCTTCAAGTCCCTCGTGGGTCTTCTTGTTAGTTTACCCTCAAGGATCTCTCTGATAAAGTCTTTGCTTTTAATGCCCACTGCCAGCCTTGTCATCCCACACTGTAACAAATGACTCCTGTCGGTTCCCCCTGTCTTCTGCCGTTCCAGTATCTAACCAGCCTTGCCTTCTTTAGCTTGGCGAGTAAGACTGGATTGGAAGACTTCAAGAGTGCTAAGGGCCCCGTATTCTCCATGTCCCCACCGTTTTCAGATTATAGGATCAGCCATGTTGATGCATAAAGGAGTCTATGGACTTCTAACTTAAGTAATAACATTCAATTCCCGTAGTTTAGCAAATTTGCAAGATCTGATCCTATATTAGTATGGTAGGCTTTGTTATAACAACCTACCTCTCGCTGTGTTCAATAATACAATTGTGTTTTCTCAAAATGGATTGGTTGACCTCTTCTGACGTCTCTCTCAACTTGCAGATGGACCACTTTGCTTGTGTCTCCCCATTGTCCTCACTTGGATGTCTTCTTTTCCTCCTCCTCCTCTTCCTCTTTCTCCTCCTCCTCCTCCTCCTCAACATCATCATCATCCAGACAACTACAATTGTATGATTTAAATTGAGTTGCTTTGAGAAAGACCCAATGACCAAGTATAGTCATATCCTGAGATACTGGAGCTTAGGAATTCAACATATGAATTGGGGGGGGGGTACACACTTAATCCAGTCCATAATGGGCCCTACAATACTTGTCTAGAATGGTCTCCCTGTCTCACATCTATCCATGCAGCATTATTTGCTGACCCCATGTATATTTCCTGTATATAACATTAAGAACTGGGTAAGCTAAGTAGAGTGCAATAGAGACCTTGGCCTCAAGAGAAGATGGGTCTAACAAAGAAAGGTGCAGAAGTCTCCCACTAGGGAGGCTGGGTTGCCTGTCTTACAAGGGCCTTCGAGATACAGTTTTTGAGCTGTGCCACCCGCACTGCGCTAACAGAAGAACTGCTTACCGGGTCTCTTGACAAAGAAGGTGTCAAGGACGGGTGTGAGGAGAAAGCACAGACTCAGCCAGAAAATAGGCTCAGTCCTTGATTTTAAAACATGGCTCATAGTGCTGTAGCCATCACATAAGATTCTCAGAAACACGGGCCTGGAGTCCCCCACAGCAATCTTATCGACTAAGAAGTTCTAGGAGTTTTGCCCTGGAATTCAGAATCTTCTTGGGGTCTCTAGGCACCCTAAATTTGAAAGGCAATGCTACTTTTCAAATGAAAGCATTTCATACAGTCCACCCTGTGGCCCTGTGTTTTATACTCCCTAGTGATGACATCATCCAGAACCCACTCGAGAAGAAGTTCCAGTGGTGCTGCAGTCTTTGTAAGTGTTTTACCACACGATCCATTATCAAGACCGCAGAAGTGGACAACTGCACAGCCTGGGGGAAGTTACCTCACTTGTGCCTGTGAAAGTGACAACAATGCTAATTCCTGTCTCACAAGTTTGTAAAGATTAGGTGACTTGATACAGGTGTCTAAGACCATCCCTTCAGGCTGCTAAAACAAAACAAAACAAAATGCCACTGTCGGGTACCTTGTAAACATTTACTTCTCACAGTTCAAGAAGCTCAAGCTTCAAGACCATGGCACTGGCAGAGTTGGAATGTACTGAATTCCTTTCTGATTCATACCTCTTAGGTGTATCTGCATATGATGGAAATGATCCTTCAAGGTTTGTGTGTTAAAGGATCCTGTTGGAAAGCAGTGAGCTGTGTGAGGTAGCAGCCAGTGAAGTTAGGCCATCAGGGACATATTCCTTCTTGGAGGGAAGGTTGGGACTCAGGTCTTCCTCCCATGCCCTCGTGTCCTCTTCTCTCCTACCCTATCTTCCGGTCACCAAGAGTAGCATTGTTCCAACATGTCTCTAACCTACAATGACATTCTCACTAGTAAACAATGAGCTAATTAATAAACACTCATTGTTGACTTATCTAAGGCATTTTGTCACAGCAATGGAAAATTAACCAGCACCAACTCCTTTGACCTTATAAGACACCTGTCTCTATGACTCCCTGTAAAGACCCACTTCCTTTTGTCATCCCTGTGACAGTTAAGGATTTCATTGTATGAATTTGGGAATCATCAACACTCGGATTATATCAGTAAGGCATATGGAACGCTGACTTGCTCGTGGTAAATGCCATGTACTGTTACTCTGTATCCATCCCTACGTATTAATTATAGTAATCATTTTTGACTCACTATAACTGCTTGTTGGTCATCTTTGGGTCAGCTAGACTATGTATTTATTGAGAATGAAAGCAGGGGATCCATGGCAAACTCAAGACTGTAGAGCAAATACTTCTGAGATCCCAGTATGAGTGAGGCACACTGCTGGGAGCGAGAGGCGATCTCTGAGATGGGACAGATCTAGTCCTCATGGGGACGAGGCCATGAGTAGAGCAAATCCTGAAGCTTAGTAATCGCTAGTCACAGACCTTTGACAAAAGCTGGGGTCTCCTGACCCTTCAGAAGGGACAAGGGTTCTGCTGTTTGCTTGCCTTTTGGAATATTCTTTCCCAACTGGAAGACAGCAGTCCACATTTGAGTAACTTGCCTTTCTCATCTGTCCTCGGCATTTCTTGCTGGTACCTGTGAAGTCCATCTCTTTAAGCAGGATAAGTGGGTGAAAAGCGCGATACAGCCAAGGGAGAATAGAGAAACCAATCTACTCAGCTACTTTACATTTACCTTGCATGTTGAATTCTGTGTTTTTATCTGTATAATAAAAATATGATTTTAGTTAGGAAGGGGTAGGCAGATCCTTCATGGAGGTGTATTCTCATTGGAGATACTTACCCTGAATCTAAATAGCTAGAATCTAGTTAAAAGTGGATGTTTCTAAGTCAGGAGGGGATTCACAAGAGAGAAGGGCTAGGGAAAGCAGCAGGACCACATCATGGAAGGTGTCAGACATGATTCTGACAAACAAATCACAAAGTTAATGATCATCGTAATAGGTCTGTGTCTTTACAGTGTCAATTACTTAAAACAAAATGTGAAACATTCCTCCTAAAACGGCATCCTCACCTGCCAGGACCCATGAAAAAGAGTCCATTTCATTTTGACTAATGGTCAGAGAGTTTAAAAATGCCCTTATAGCTCAGTGGCTACCGGTTTGGGACCAGGTGCCTTTACTCTTGACCCTGAAGGCTGGATGGCAAGTGTGGCTACCAAATACCTGGAGGATTAAGGGAAGTAAGTCTCTTTGCCCCTCATACACGATAATAGAAGTCTTCTACCGTTTGGTCCTCACTGTTGGTTGAATATGTAAAATGGTATAAGAATAAACAAAGGGGGCATTCAGTATGGACTGAATCTGCCCTCCCAACAACTATCCTGTGTCTCTGACTCCTAACCCTGTTAGCTAACCTTTCCTTCATGCGCACTCCCCCACTCAGGTACAAACCTGGGGCTGCTCGGCTGGCTCCGATTGCAGTCCTACAAACACAGCCCCAAACACTCATCATAGAAAGTAACTCAGATTGGCTGAAAATGTATCTAAGCAAATAACTTAGAGTCGGATGTGTGCTTACCTCCATTTTACTTACAAGAAACGTAATGTTAAGAAATCTCTGCAGTTCTAGTGAACTGTAACTCAAGCAGCACTTGGCCCCTTTTGTGCTGAATCTGACTTAACTTTATAGTCTTAGCTCTCAGGAGCCCAGGACCTTCCAGAGAACATGTTTCCAGCTCCAATGTCTCCATTCCTTCCGTGTGCTAATGTTCCCTTTTCTGTTCCTACTTTAATGTGTTTATCCTTTACAGAGCAACTGGCTCCTACTCAAGCAAGGCCTGAGGCTGTCAGGTTTTCTCCCTGTGGACAGAGTAACTTCCTTTAAATAGTCATACACCCACTTACCATAGATTTTCCCTTATGTGAAGTGAGAGCCACCAAATTATATTTTTCTTTACCTGGTTACCACAACCCTATTGTATTATAGATTTCAATAATCTATTAGAGGGAAGGAGGTGTTTGAAGCAGGGTTTCTCTGTGTAACTTCCCTGGCTATCTTGTGACTCCAGGTTGACCTTGAACTCACAGAGATCTGCCTGGCTCTACCTCCAGAGTACTGGGATTAAAGGCGTGTGCCACCACTACCCGGCAGACTCAATAATCTAATACT